AAGTCGATGTGGACCACGGCTAAGGGTGCAGTGGCGCGAATGGAGCTGACAGGAGCGGGCAGGCGAGTACCTTTACCACGAATACATGCACCACATTCGAAACTTTTCACATCCTCCGCAGACACCGTAACCTTTTCGCCCAACCTTCCCTGCCTCAGCATTGCAACGACACTCTTGACATTGAGATGGCTTAGACGGAGATGCCAGTCTAAGAGGGTGTCAGCGGCTGAGGCGACATAGGAGGTGGCGGAAACACTGGCCTCGATGACATAGAGCCGGTTTGCGTCGGTGATGCGAGCAGAGGTCATGAGGACCGTGCCGTCGAGATGGCTGAGGACGGCTTGACCATTGTAAAAGGTCCAGCGGAAGGCGCTTGGGGTCTGTTGGACTGACAGGAGATTCCTGTGCAGTTTGGGCACCACAAGGACGTCGTCGAAGGACACGGGACCGAGCGAGAGGCGGCCGCGCTGACGGGAGGTGAGAAGCTCACCGTTACCGACACGGATCAGAACAGGGTTGGTGTCCCGGACTGCCGTAAGGAGATCGGCGTCGACCACCATGTGGTTAGACACGCCCGAGTCGACGACAAACGAGGACAAGGGGGCCGGAAGATCATGTCGAGACGGAACAAGCGTAGTGGACGCAACGAATGCAGACGCGTCGGAGTCGACGGACAAGTACCCATCGTCGTGTTTGGCGGTGGACGGCGGTGCAGTTTGCTCAGCAACTTGAGCCTCCTGGGGCACACCCTTCTCACGGAGGGTTCTCGAGATCCAACACTCGGACGAGTCGTGACTGGTTGAGTTCTTATGCCATATGCAGGTTTTCGAAGAGGTCGTGACCGGACGGGTGGTCTGCTTGGACTTGGCAGACCTGGGTGGAACCGACTGCGCCAGGAGGGCCGCAGGTTGGGTAGGAGGCGCATGTGCTTGGCGCTCCGTCTGCCACCGGGACCACTCGGCAGAGACCTGCATCAGGACCTCGGCAGTGGTAAAGGTGCTTTTCGCCCACAGGAGCTGCTTGATCGGTCGATACTCTTCGTCGGACAGCGCATGAAGCATGGCGTAGGCCACTTGTTGATCTTCAACCTTTTGGGACTGACGCAGCTGTGCCATGGTGGCCCTCTGTGCGCCCAGGTAGGGGAGAGGGTCTGCCCCGGAAGGAACTCGGGTCGACCAGAGCGTGGAGTAAAGCTGGCTAATTCGATGCCCAGTCGTTTGGGAGTAAAGGGTGAAAAGCTCATCCCAGAGCAGCTTTGGATTGGGACGGAAGACGTCTTGAGCTTCGGCCGAAACCGCGTTCTTAACAGCCTCGGAGAGAGACTGCAAGAGAATACCCAACCCTTCGTTCTGCTTTGCCAAGCGGACCTGCTCTGTGGGAGTGAGAGGTGTAGGAATGGTGGAGGGATCTGAGGGATCCATTGAGTCGAAGTGGAAGGAAGGGTCCTCGAGGGGCTCGGACTTCAAGCAGAAGAGAGCCTGTTTTCGGAGGAGCAGTGAAGAGACACTAGACGACCATTGAATGTAGTTGGCGTTCCCCAAGAGAAGAGGGATCTTCGAAGAGGTGTCGCGGACGAGTTGACCGTCGTCGTATGCGGACATGTTGGATTTGGGGTGATCGTAGGAGAGGTGTAATTGTTGGCGCTTAGAAAAAAAGCGAGGCTCATAACCTGTTGACGTCCTAGTTCCCAGTATCAGTCAACGTGTATCTCTATACACACAGAAGACCAGAATGGTGGTACATACCTAGTTCCCAGTATCAGTCAACGTGTATCTCTATACACACAGAAGACCAGAATGGTGGTACATACCTAGTTCCCAGTATCAGTCAACGTGTATCTCTATACACACAGAAGACCAGAATGGTGGGGAACTAGGGATCAACTATGTGGGTATATATGGGAGACAGAGCGAAAGAAAAAAAGGTACAAGTAGCGAGTATCGTAGCGTGGTATAGATTAAAAGAAAGGATGAAAGTGACGTTACTGGACCCTGACATGGCAAGGGACCCTATCTCAACATCACCATGGCCTCTTCATCACAAGCCTTCGATCAACGATTACTTCCAAGCCTCGAAAACCACCGCGGCCTCCTCCCACCTCCTTCTTGCCCTCCCTGACCTTGCCCCTGCCCCTGTCCCTGCCCTTGGGCCTGCCTGTGACCTCTCCATCCTGCCTCCAAACCCGTCGAACCCTGTCCCCTATCCACAGATTGTGTACGATTCCCAAGCGTAGACACCGCAGACTGGAAAGCATTCAAAGAAGGGGGTCTTGCAGTGCCATAAGCAGAATGTGCTTGAGCGGTAGCAAATGACGAAGGCGATGGGGGAGGAGCGTTTTGATAACGTGGGTAAGGACCAGAACCTGATGGTGCTCGAGGACCCATTGGTCGGCCTCGGGTGTCGCCCCCATTGACTACAGCGCCTGGTCCATTCGAGTAGCGGCCGAGCAAAGACCGCTGGAGAGATTGCTGGCTGGAAGATCGAGAGGAATCTCGGAATGGATCGGGCTGCTGGGGAGCAAGATGCTGCGAAGGGGTGGGGTATTGTGATCCGGCGTGGTACGCCGGGTAGACAGGTGGTTGGATGGTAGGATACTCAGCCGCCGCCGTCCCTGCACCGGGACCCAGAGCCGGATTGCCACCTCCCAGCCCAAGGTCTCCACTCACTCCCGGCGACGACCTAAATGCTTCACTCGGTATCCCCGGTGAGATGCTCCTCCAGGCATCTTGGTCCCTCAAGTGCGTGAGGCTGCGGCGGTACACCAAGCTCGGATGAAATGGCGGCTGGGGTGCTGTTCGGCATCTTGGGCCAGCGGGAGATGGGGCGTGGGAAGCGCCGGGGACGGTGAGGGAGGAGGTACTGGAGGATGGGCCTTCGGCGCCAGAGTCTTCGGAAGTGTCGTTGGCGTCCATGTTGGGGATATAGTATTCGTTCAAGTAGCTCGTTAGGTCGTTGACGCGTGAGCCCGAGAAGACGCAGAAAGCAGCTCTTTGGTGCTCGTTGAAGGACTACTCGACGTTAGCGGCGTTCTACACAACGGAGAAGGACGCACCTCTGGAGGAGGTCGGCAGAAACTTTGCAGCTCCTGCACCCTGAACGAGCTCACACCCGTCAAGCTCAGATGTTTGAGACCATTGAGCCTGTTGAGCATGAAAGCAACACCCTTGATAGTGAGCTGCTCGCAATACGACAGATGCACTCGTTCCAGGGTGGTATGCTTCTTGACAAGAGCATAGAGGGCCTCATCAGTGATATTGTTCACCTTGCAGGGGTCAGCTCTATCGATCACAACGTGGAATGAGGGCGCACCTTGACAAGACCGAACCGCTTTAATTTCGGCATGCTCTCGCCAATTTCCGCAACGCAGGCATCTGTCAAGTTGGTACAACACGCCAGGTCAAGGTATCTGATCCTTGAGCATGACCGAGCGAGGTTGATCACTCCTCTATCCGTGATACTAAATCTTGATCAGACCGGCCTCTCCACGAATGGAAATAAGACTTACGTAGAGACATGGCCTAGATGCAGATTGTGCAAGTGCTTCCCCAATCTTCCAATACTATCCAGACTCTTGTCCGTCAACGACGAACACTTGTTCAAAGTCAACTGTCTCAGCTTTGGAGCGTTCGTGACCAGATTATCAATCGCCTGGTCTCCCAGCGACGTACACCCCGTCATATCCACCACCCTCAGACTATCAAACGACGTTGCACTCGGCCTCAAGCCCAGTACACCATTCAGCGGATCAGGCTGCAACCCAATCCGCTCCGAGCACGCCACAATTTCGTCCTCCGACATGTCTGCCAGTTCCTCCAAGTCGGGTATACAGTTCTCTGTGAGGGCGGTGCAGCCGGAGATACGAAGTTCGCGGAGGTGCGGGGCGTGGAGAAATACACAGTGAAGGACGGCGTCGGAGAGAGTGAGGAGCTCTTGGAAATCGTATTCGAGGACGAGGGGATTGGAACGGATGAGGGGAATGAGCGATTTAGGGGAGATGCGGTGACATCTGTCGAATTTGACCTATGACATGTCAGCAAGCGCAACATAATCAGGGGTATACTCACCCGTCGAAGCAGCTTGTTGTGCTCTACCAACGCTAGAACACCATCATCGCCAACGAGCTTGCAGTCGGACAAGTTGATCGCTTGAAGCTTTGTATTCTGCTCCCCGATCACCTTCATCACCGAGTCGTCGATATGTATGACATTCGTCAAATCCAGCGACACCATATTCGGCATACATCCCAGCACCGTCGACAGCCCCTTGGCGCTCAGTTTAGTCGCCCCCGTCAGGTTCATCCTCTCGACCTTGGTGCACACGCTGAGGTACTCGAACAGGCCATCGCCCAAGTAAGGTGCAACTGCCAAGAGATGGAGCCGTTTGACGGCGTTGGCGTAGGGTAATGACCGATTTGGAGAGTTGAGAACGCGGGCGATGGAGCCGAGGACGGATATGGTCGGAATGGAGGGCTTGTGCCAGAGCAGGGAGAAGGCGCAGAGACACCATGACCGAGAGACGAGGAGGGCCGAGAGGAGGTCGTGGTTGGCAGGGAGGTATTTGAATACCTACATCATGTTAAATTGATAAAACGAAGCAGCGGAACGACTCACTTGAAGGAGAATCTCGGGAGGCAACGTCTCGGCCATACCTCTCGGCGGAGTATCATCTCTCCGCTTCTCCTTCTTCTCACTCATCTCACGCTGTTCTTCTCCGCGAAGCAGCCAGGTTTTGGCCTCTTCATCAACATGAAGTCCCTCCTCCCCTTCTATCCCCTCGTCTTCGTCCTCGGAATCACTCGTTGCTGAGACGGTGTGGCTCGGTTTGCGCAACACCCTCATACGCTTGTGCATTGCCCGAGAAGGTGGCCTGGACTCGTCGTCTCCGCTCGGATAGTACGACGGAGTAGATGACGAAGCGTCGGGGGTGGCGACGCTCAAGCGGGAGAGAGAGCCTGCGAGAGAGGTGGCAGGGGTACCGGCGAAACCAGTGTCGAAAGGCCGGGGAAGAGCTGCTTGGCGTGATTTGCTAGAGTCGCCTCGGCGGGATGGGAAGGGGATAATTGGATCAGAGTTGCGGCGCGGAAAGGAAGACATGTTGAATAACAGAGTCTGGGTGGTTGGCTATATAGCTTCGGAGGCGTGCCAACGGAAAGCGAAGGGCGACGAGCGGGCGGCGAGGGGGCTGTTGGGGGGCTGTGATGGGCGGTGCTTATAGTCGAAGCATGACTGATGAGGCTGGGGGATGATGGGGGCGGGATGAGATGAAATGAGGAATAAAGGAAAACGACAGCTGCTTTGCAACAAGATCGGCGACATGTACAAGGTGGACACCGCCGCTCTCGGCGGCGGCTCTCGGCGGGTGACATGCTAATACCAACATTGCAAGTTACTGAGAGCATAACCCGGGCAGGAGACACTCTGGTAGCCTATCTGAACTCTACTTGTCTTTCTACCCCTTTGCCAGCCTACCTACCACCTCCGCATGTCTCAAGCGTCACCATCACTCCATTCGGCCTCCTGCTGCTGGGTCGTGCCTGGCGGGCATGCTTCAACTTTGTTCGGCATTGTGGCAGGTGCGCGGATGCACCGTGGCTCTCATGCTTTTATGTACATACAAATACAACATACTACATGGATATTGTATACAAACACATCTATGTACACGTTTAAGAGTTAGTGTCGCGAGGAACAATGCTATACTTGAGGCGGAATATCCATCCACGTCCTCGCCCATGCCATCACCCTCGGGTCTACTTTCACCTACCTGTTATGTCAGCCTCACCCTTTGAGCATGATCTGAAGAAACCTTACCTTGTCTCTGTTGAAGCCTTTCACCTGTAGACGGAGGATGGAAGTCGCGCGTGAGAGCGCTACATACACGTGCCCCGGGGCAAAGCAGCGCGAGACATCAACAATGACCGAGTGGAGAGTCATGCCTTGGGCTTTGTGGATGCTCATTGCCCAAGACAGCATAAGTGGTACCTGCGGGATTGTCAGTCAGATCTCATATAGAGAACATTGAGCTTACCTGCTTCCGGACGCCTTTGAGCCCGCCTTTGGTATCTTCCATCTCAATCCGATCCGGTTTGACGAGTACGTCCACCGTACCTCCCTTCGCCCCATACACAAACTTCACCACCGGGTACTGCTGCGCCTCTCCCTCCGCATCCAGCTTTTCCTTCTTCACCCTTCTCGAATTCGCCTCCGTCTTCCTCTCCTTCTCATCCTCAATAGTTCCATCCTCCTCATCTCTAACCCACTGGCCCGAGACCGCGCGGAAAGTCTGCGGATAGTCAAACCCAAGTATCCGCCCCATGGTCCCGTTGACAAGGTCATCTCCTATCTTCTTCACCAGCATCACCTGCGCTTCTGCTTTGACTACTAGTCGCTTCGGCGCCAGCACCCCGCGAAAGATGGACGCATCCCAAGGTCGGTTGATCGTGTCGACCGCGTCATATACCATCACTTTCCCAGGGAGCTTGTTGAGACGAGAAGTGTTTTCGCGGTCGGCTTCTTCCCTTGTGCTTGTCAGCACTGGAGCGAGAGCAGGTGCGGTGGAAGAAGCAGAAGGGGCCGTTTTGGGGGGTCGGTCAATCATGGTGAGGAGGTTGATGGTGGCTTTGCTGAGGTTGGCATAACGGACGTCGTCCAGAATCTTTTTCAGTCCTGTCCATTGATCAGCACGGATCATCCAACATTAAAATTACCTACCGAGGTCCCTCTGTCTGTATACCGTCTTCAGCTCAATCTGCTGATCGATCAAATTCCAACTTTCGCTCGAAAACGCAAACGGTGGCTTATCGCTACGATCTCTCGGCACCGGCGGTAGCTGGAAAAAGTCGCCAGAAAATACCAGCTGGATACCTCCCCAAAGTACATCAGACTTTCGAAGTGATTTTGCCATCTCCCCGAGCTTGTCCAGTAGCCTCGCATCAACCATGGAAACTGTCTGCCATCAGTACCACCTCCTGCTATATCGCGAAAGACTCACTCTCATCCAGTATCAACACTTTGCACCCTCTCCACCTCTTTCTCTGTATACCATTCAACCCCTTCATAAGCTCCTCCGCCGTCCCCATCCCATACCCAATCCCACCCCACGTATGTATCGTATCCCCGCCAATATTGATAGCGGCAAGACCTGTCGGAGCGGTGATGGCGATTTCATTCTCCTTCTTGTATATAGATTTGAGAGAAGTGATTATCTGGCGGAGAGTGAGGGATTTGCCGGTTCCTGCTTTGCCGGAGAAGAAGACGTTTTGTTTGTTGTCTATGACGGCGCGGAGGACGTCGAGTTGTCCGCCTTGGAGAACAGCATGGTCGGTGATATTTGGGCGTTTCCTGTAGAGTGTCAGCTTGAAGTACCAGCTTTGAGAGGATACTCACTTGGCGAAGCCTTCCAAAGTGGACTGCCTCGGGCGTTTTGTACCCGTCGGCGCGCACATCGCTGCACTTTGATTTCACTTCTTCCGTCTTTCTGCTTCAAAAATCACGACACCTTCATCGCGGAGAGCGACGCGTACTCCGTCTTCTGTGGCTGAATACCTCAATCTGGAAACTCCGGGAAAGGCCGAGGCTTATCAGATAAGTTTCAGGGCAGCCAGGGACCGAGGGAGGGATTCATCGTGCACAACAACGCCCCCGGCCGAAAACTGGCGAATGGGAGATGTGTGGCGCGTGGATTGGGAAGGGTGGCAATCTGATTAGACAAGGGCTGGAGTAGGGATGTCATCAGGGTCCAGAAGAAACCGCATGGGCACAGCGGGCACTGCGGGGGAGAACGTATAATGCGTGATAATGAGCAAGGAGGAGGCAGGAGGCAAAAGAGCGTGGATCTGGTTTCAGCGTGGAGGATCTCGCATTTGCCCGACGTTTTTTTACAGCACCGGCTCGACTTCGGAAGGCGACGTTGGCGAACTTGTTCATTTGCTTTCTCATCGCGCAAGAAGCATGCCACTCGTACGTCTGCCCCTTTATAATGGCTGCTTCATCTCAGGCCGAGCGCCGCCCCCTCTCCGCCCCTGTCACTTGCCATTCAGTGCTGACTTTGCTCTGACTAGCTGGAAGATGCCAAGCTGGTAGACGTTTTTGATTCCAACAACATAGAATGATTCGCCACCCTTCAGCGGCTTACTCTCATTGATATTATTATCTCACAAATCTTTCGGGTATGGGTGAAGATCAGATCGTCCTCGCCCCTTCCTCTACCGGATCCATCACACTATCCTCTCTCCTATCTCATCCCACTCCTCACTCGCCTTCTCTCAACCACACTCTCCCATCTATCCCTTTCAACGCCACCGAGGGCCACAATGCCACACCCACCCCACCACCCTACGTCAAACCCCCAAAGTATCACTACTTTGCCTCCCGCTACTCTTGGATCTGGATATCCTCTACTATCCTCATCCTCATCATCATCCACCTCATCCGTACCAGACGCCACAAAAGACGTTTAAAGCAGAGTCTCGACCGGCGGCGAAGGCAATGGAAATCTGCCAGAGTGTCCGAGCGGGATTTCGCTCTGGAGGAGCTCGAGCAGAGCAAGGGCGGTTGGGTGGGGAGACGTGTAAGGGCTCTAGGGGCTGGGTGGAGGAATGTGATGTATATGCGGGGATTCCCCGTATGGCTGTATATGCCAGAGACGGTGGCCGATGCGGGCTTTACGGTGTTGTACACTGTCGTCTATCTATTCTTCTGCCTACACCGGACTACTTGTGCGTCGCTCCCGAGGTTATCGATCTTGCAACTGATAGTCTTCTAGCATGGTTCCCTGTTCGAGGGTACGAGAATGCCGCAAACCAGCTAGGCGTCATGGTGAGTTCCTTGGCACTCGATACGGCTCATGCCGACCTCTTTCAGTCTTTTTCTCAACTCCCCATCATACTCCTCCTAGTCTCCAAAAACAATCCTATAGCCTCCCTCACCGGTATCACCTACCAAAAACTCAACTATCTCCATCGCGCATCTTCTCGGGTTTGTCTTCTGACCAGCTGGGGGCATGCGCTGCTTTGGACGCCGGATGTGTGGGAGATTGGAGATACTAGGCCTTATCTTCTTTGGGTAAGTCTGACTCGTATGTGGTTAAGGACGGAGCTGATATGGGATAGGGCATCGCCGCGCTGACGGGGTTCACGATGCTCTGGTTGACGAGCTTCCGTTTCATTAGACGGATGGCTTGGGAGTTTTTCATCGTCTCGCATATCCTCTTTTCCCTGTAAGAGCTTAGCACCTTACGTTTGTACATACACTGACTTGCCCAGGTTGTATCTGATAGGTGCCTACTTTCATTGGAATCGTCTCAGCTACTGGGTCTGGCCTGCAATTCTGATCTGGGCTTTTGACCGTTGCCTACGATTCATCAAAGTCTCGTATATCAACAAGATCTCGCCATTCATCCAATCTCGCCGTGACGCAAAGAAAGGCAAGAGGTCAAATAGAGGTCCGCAGAGAGGTGTCAAAGTGGAGTTGCTGGAACATGATGTGATGCGGGTCACGATCGAGAGGGAAGGCTGGAGTTGGAAAGCTGGTCAGCACGCGTAGGTCTTCCATCTAGTTAGTCATCGGGGTGGAAGCTCATGAACGTGGCAGATTCATCAGCGCCCCGTCCCTCACCTCTTCCCCACATGAATCCCATCCCTTCTCAATCGCCAACATCCCCACTTCCACCTCCAACGCCGCCAGCTTCCTCATCCGAGTCCATTCCGGTTTCACCAAGCGTCTCATGCACGCTCTCCATTCCGACGTCGAAGAAGGGCTGCCGCTGCTCATCGAAGGACCGTATGGCTATCCCCACAGTCTGGACTCTTACTCGACTGTCGTCTTGTTGGCAGGAGGTACGGGTGTGACATTCACATCCTCCCATTTTCTGCAAATCCTCCAAAACGCAGCTTCCGGCCGGTCGGCTATCAAGCATCTCCACCTCGTTTGGCACATCCGCCACGCATCCCACATCCAATGGATCGCCCCCTTGCTCAACCTGGCTGCCGAATATGCTACGAAAGCGGAACAAGCCTGCGCAGGGGTTGATTGGTTGGTGGATATCTACGTGACGAAGAGCCCTTCAGCGGATGAGCCTTGGCGACCTAATACTATTGCAGAACCTGAGCGAGGCGGCGGAGGTCTGGAGTCGGGCCTAGGATTGGCCGATACGTTGTTGGAGAGGATCGTTCCCGACCCGGCTTCTCGTTCCCCGACTCCGCTCTCTTTCATATCACATTCTAGATCACACTCCATCTCCCATTCTCGCTCTCAATCGCGCTCCCATTCTCGCTCCCACTCCCCCGCACCATCATATCGCCCCGACGAGCTACTCACTCCCAAAGCTCAACAAGTGCGAATCCCACTTTTGAGCGATGAGCAAGACGGGTACGAAGGAGCACAAGATCGGGAAGAAGAAGAAGATGCAGGCTGGGGATTGACGATGAAAGCCTGGAGCTATGTACGGTGGAATAAGGGAAGAGCAGATCTAAGAGAGATTGTAGAGGAAGATGCTAGAGAGGCAGAAGGTGCCATGAACGTGTCTGGTGAGTCTCGCCTTTTCCTTTGAGAGCATCAACAGACTAACGTGCGACAGTCTGCGGGCCCGTACAGCTGCTTCAAGCATCGAAGAAAGCCGTCAGGGAGGTATCGACAATGCAGAGTACAAGAGAAGGTCTTATGAGTATAGATTTCTTTGAAGAGACGTTAGGAGCATAAAGGAGTGAACCCTATGTTCTTGTTTGTATTGGGGTATGTTTGAATTTTTAGAAACCATAATACTATGCCTTCTTCGCTTCTTCGTGTCTATTCTGATCGTCCGGTCTTCGTTGTATTTTGGAGTATAGATTTCTCGTGTTCGAATCGGAATGAATGTATGAATTATTAGTAGAGCTTGAACGATGCGGACATGCATCTCAGAGCCAGTACTTCGGGCAGGGCGACGGTCGAACGTCACCCCCGTGGCTCCCGTTACTACTTGTGCGCAGCTCGGAACACGCGAAGCATATTTGCGATCTTCCGGGCGATTGCAGATTCACAGTTAGAATGGCTGTTCTGAAAAACCATGGATCTCCGTTGTGACAGGAGACCGCCGTGTTCACAAAAGTTGACGAGAGGTGACGAAGGACCACCCCCACCATCAACAAACAAAAAAGGACTATGATATTACGGAGCACCCTTTGTTGATGTGATCGGCTGAAATGAGAATCCCATACCCTTATAAAGAAGTACAGTCACAGTCATACATGCACTTTTTTATCCATCATCAGTTCATACCAGAGGTACAATTCCCACCAACGTCCGATAACATGTCAGGACACAACATTCTAGAAGATGACTTGGATTCTCAAATAGTCATCTTCGAAACCGTGACCCCCTTGTTGTCACGAGAGGAGGGATTGCAACTCATCGAAGATGCTTTCAGAGAATTCGTCACGACTCCCGGCAATCGAGAAGAAGATGCTGCTGGTCCTGAGAACACAGGAAGCCCGTCGTCGCTCAACGAGGAATCATTTCGCATGCCTTCCTTGAATCCGGATGATCCCACTCCTCTGGCTGAGCAGCTGAGCAGACTTACAGCTGAGACAAACGACACTCTGAGGAACCGTTATCCTGGGATGACACTTGAACAGAGATCGCAGCGTCTCCTGAGTGCTGTACGATCAGAGCTGGAACAAAGGACAGGCCACAGTGATTTCATCCTCGATTTGAAGATTAACGACCACCGCGATCCGGATTGGGTTCAAGGAGATTCAAACTTTGAAGGGGAGGCAATTACGGAGGGGACAGTCAGTGTGGCTAGACTGGTACCAATTGAGGAAGGCGACACCGCGAACCCTGCTTCAGAGGATGATGATACTGCTGGTAACGGACAGTGACAAAGTCTTCAGAGATCGATGTTGGATACATCCGTATGCTAGCGTTTTTGACCTGTTACAAGAATGAAAAGATGCAGATTTATGTAGGTGTGCGAGGTCGACAACAACATGGCAGCAGTAGCAGCAGTAGCAGCAACAACAAGCAGCATATGCTAGGGGTCGGCAACAACAGAGCTATTGGTGTTCTGTCCAGCCTCGTTGTACTTGCCTCCCTTTGATAGATGGGGGAGCAATGAGCCTAGTGAATTGACATGATGTGGGAACTGAAGTGCAAACAGCTCTCTGGTTCACATTAGCTGCAAAAGGAATGGCGGCATAGCCAGCTGATGACGTTGTCCCTATCTGCTGCGCTACTCCCACACTCATGAGCTGTGAATACAGGAAGGCGGAATCCTGTCCAAAACATTTAGTAGTGTCCTGCAATCAAGCTCTTCAAGGGAGCTGAGGTAAATACTGTAATCTCGTATCTGATGCCACATTAGATGGCCAGCGGCCATCGAGAAAGAAGCGGAGCTGTTGTCATCGCGACCAGTCGAGCTCTTGAGGAGGATGAAAGGGTCAGTACTACTCGATTAGTCACACTCCCTAGAACAGTGCGTTGTTCTCAAAGGAGAAGACCATTCAGTATCATGACGCCTTTGTAGAAGAATGGTGAAAACGACACATTGTATCGGAGTCCCTTTTGCATTCGAGGTCACTGTTGGATTTGCTCTTCTAGTTCCCAAAGACTGTCCTTTCAACAATTGAGGGCTTGGAACGACACGGCCTGTTTCTATTTTGAGAAATGTGAACATATATGTAACCAGACTCATAGGCATATCACCTTACACATAGGGTATTCAAGACAAGCGCACCAACACAATACATACTCAAGATGCCGGAAGACAACCAAGCTGGTAGCAATCCTCCACCTTCAGATGCCGGAGAGGTCTCTGATAGCTACAGTACCATCGTAGTCAGTTTGACCGGACGTTCTAATCAGCGTCGCCGAAGGGGAGATAGGGGGGGCTCCGATTCTGATTCCGAGTACCGGAACCCCAACGTTGATGCTAGTCTCCACAATACAGCAGCCGGATATGACCTTGACCTCGATGGTAAGGTACCCCTGGTTCAGCAGCTCAGCGTCATGACCGCTCATATCAATGACGTTTTGAGGCAGAATCATGAAGAGATGACAGAAGAGGAAAGGAGGCAGTTCATTCAGAGTACAGTGGAGCTCTCCTTGCAAAGCGCTGGCCTGGAGGGATGCGAGGTTGATTTCAGCTATGGCCCACCTGGTCAAGAAGGAGCCGTTGGAGGGGAATGGACAGCACAAGCAAGTAATCAGACGACGAGAAGTTATTCATCGATTGTCACTATTCCGACTGGAGCGAGTTCTAGCCCTCACAACGATCAAGACGACAATGACACTCCGGAAGAGCAGCCCCAGTAAAGCGCGACGCAGCATACATACTACGCGTGTGTGTGCGTTGTCTTCAGTATGACTTGATGAGTAGCTTGATGCATGTAGAAATGCGCGGGAGTATACTTGAGGTCGAGTAGCACTTGAGTCACGTACTGGGATTTTGTTGAAGATGCATCAGAGTTGTTAGGGCGACCAGAGGATAACTAACTACTCCAACGAAGTCTACTCGTACCGTACAATGCTGACCCATGAATGACGGGCGGTCATTGTCCACCGTTGGTGGCGCCGGATTGGCTGAGTTCACTTGAAATCGTAAAATTTTAGTCAGTGTAGTAGTCCATGCACTGTGGGACCAGAAGTGACTTGATATAAGTCAACACTGTTGACTTGCATCAAGTCAGAAATATCCTGAAAGAAGTCACTTTTTTATGACTTGATATAAGGCAATCAGGCGATGTGACTTGTTTCCAGGCAGTTTCATGCCCTGCCTCCCAGCCTTCGTAGAAACGTCTCGCGGTACTTCACAGCATACATAGATCGTACTAGCATGCTAAGATATAACGATATAAATGATAGGGTATTACGAGCATAGGCGAGAGTCAAGTGGAATCGTAATAAGTTGGTCCTTCTCCTTGACTTCTCACAACTTGTGACCAGTACTGTAGCGTACATGTCTGTCGGTGTCTTCGTCGCATTCAACGCTTTTGCAGATGTCTTGGGAAGAGGAAGGGCCAGTGCGTGGATAAGATGGAGTCACAAAAAAGAAACTCACCTTGCGATGGGCTATGTAGGTAGCGGCGCAACGTTGACTGAAAATCAAGATCAGTGCACGGCCAGCCGAGGATTGCCTACAGTCTGCGGATCAGAAGGAACAGACTCACTTGCTCGTAGCCTACGACGCAGGACGCGCGTAAGGTGCCTTCTTGCGGTGTTGGATGATGGCCCGTGCGGTATGGCCTTGAGAAGACCGATCCTTCTTTGGCGGCTGTCCGGAGGGGGTGGCGGGTGACTGGCTGGAGCTTGTGGAAAGGGGGTGTGAGGGGGCTATGAGGAGATGGAGATGACTGGATCGCTTGAACGGAATATGAAAGATGAAAGGAGAAAGAGAAAGTAGATAGAGATTGAGGCGACTTGCCACTCCCACTGCATTCGAACGATGTTGTGGTCTTCGTTGCAATCGATGGCTGAAATGATCGTTCGGAAGCCACTCATTCTCGCCCACAGTCTGAGTGAAGAGGCTATGTGCATCGTGGCTAGCTCATGTTGCGCCCCTGATACACATCCGAAATTGACCGCCAAGTGAGTATAAGTACGTACCCAGATGCAATCACTGCTGAATCATCACCATCGTTGCTACTACTACACATCAACACCGTAGTTGCCACCCTAGTTGTCGTCTCCATTTTAAAGGAGACTATATCAATCAGAACGGCCAAGCAACACAACAGATGGCTATCAGCCCTATTTTAATAGGATGGGAACAAGGCAAGGTTGCCCAGTATCGCTGCTGGAGCTGTTCGTTCCCTTATCTATACAGCCCTTGTCAGCCTGAGAGGCATGAAAGGTGCAGGAAATGTAATGTGAGTGTCTGTACCAAATATTGAGCTGTCAATATCCTCACTTATGTTGATGTCGTAGAACACGATGTGGCGTTACCCGTTCGACCCTAATGATCACCCTGCTTTCCGGTGGGTTTGGCCTGTAAGTTATGGGCTGCTTGCAGACTGTTGCATACCCATCGGGAGGTGCCTCATCCTCCTGAAAAGTAACAGTCAGCTGACAATGACTGGTCACGATCTTTGATGTAGCATGAACTCGCCCCTTGGCAGTGATGCCGCTCTGATGCCGAAGATTACATGTTGGGTACCTGGTGGAGAAGCGTGTGACTTTCCGTATGAATGTTTTGCAATTTACCACAGTCTGCCAGCTCTGCCAGTCATGTCAAGTGCCATCTATTCGCTGGCGGCGCTAAAAAGCCTTCGCCCGTAAACGTAGAGTGACGCCGGACGGTAAGTTTTGGGATCGGGACGCAGAATCCTGAACTGTGTCAGCAAGAACGACTAATGAATGTGTTCATTCTGGGCCTGGTGGCTTATCCTTATATAACTCGGTAGTCGGTCCCTATACTGCAGTCGGTCCCTATACTGCAAAGTGGTCGTCAAACGCAGTTCAGTCGACTGTCACTTTGGACACACGGTCAATCGGCTATTGTACCCCAGCTCATCTTCACAGCTCGCGTGAGCGGTTCTAAATCGGGCATTGTTACATTGAGACATATCCTACATTGCACCCTTTCTTCCGCCATACCAGCCGAGATCAATACCGCCGCCCACCCTCTTCACTGCTCTTATCCGGCACCCCCTGCCCACTCGCCCCTCCTTCGGTCCCATCCAGATAATCATCGTGTGCACTCCTGCTCGCAAAATCTCCCGCAAACCCGCCCCGGGCATGAGCTTTGGCGTCTTCTGAAAGGTGGTTGCCTCGGAAACGGCGGCGCATGTCAAGCTGTAGACTGCAGTCAGAATATGTTACGAACGCAGAAAAAGAGAAAAAGAATATGAGAAGGATATGCCAAAGGCTGAGTACTCACAAGACCTTTCTTGCAGTCAGCAAATCTTGTGATTAAATGTTGGCATTGTATCGGGAGGTCTTGAGGTTTCGAGAGGCATTCAGTCACAGTATTGCCCTTTTTCAACACGCTATTACAGTCATCAGATTCCGATCATCGAGCGCCGACGCTTGTATACGAAGAAGGATGGACATACCAATCTGTGCGTATTATACAGGACAGCAGATCTTCCTTCGCTTGCTGGCACGCTGGTCGAGACATTTGGGTTTTGTTCTTGGGCTTGGTTGTCGCAGGAGGTCTGAAAGTATTGAGTATGCTGAAGTATTTGATATGGTGCGAAGGGTATTGGACAGCGCTTGCCACTCGCCAGAAAACAAAAATCGGAATTTGTAGGAGAAGAATAGATCTCGTTGCATCACCACATTTACCTTCGTGCCTCGGAGTGCCTCCACTTTTCTCCATCGCCCCCATCGTCATTGCCCCTCTCTCCTCTTTCTCTTTCACTCTTCCTATATCTCCTCCCCGAATGCTCCGCCCCCACTCCCCTTCGGAATATCCTTCAATCCTGTTGTATGTGTTGGATGAGACACATATAACGGTCACCGCCGCCACGGCGTTGACCATCTTGTTTACTCGTGATGCTCATGTCGTTTGGCTCGCGCTGGGAGCGCTTTCATCTTCTTTATCAGGTACGTTTCTCCCACCCATTCAGACCTAATACTTGCTGATATTGAAATAGCGAAGATGCTGAAGAAGATGATTCGCCAACCCCGTCCTCCACCCCCACCATCCTCCTCCAAACCCTCCAAAATCCGTCCCAAAAAGACCTACGGCTTCCCCTCAACCCACTCCTCCGCCCTATCCTTCTACTTCTTTTACCTCCTCCCCCTATTCTCTTGCCTACCTACTTCCTCATCCATACACTTCTCTCCCGAGGTTCAGAGATGGGGCGCCGGAGCAGCTGTCACGAGTTATTGGGCTGCGGGGCTGTGGAGCAGGAAAGAGCTGGGGTACCATACTTGGGGACAGATTTTGGCTGGGGCGGCTTGGGGAGGGGTCGTGGCTTGGGCATGGGGGGCGGTGTGGGAAAAGTTTGCTTTGCAGGGACCGGTGCAGGGGTTGATAGATGGTATTTGGGGAGCGACCGTTGGACGTTTGGTTTAGAATGCATAGAATTCATACAGGAAGGCATGGTGGCATGATCATGGTTGGCTACTAGTACAACTGGTGATGTTGATGACGATGATGGAACTATAACGCTTGATATAAGTACTCTCTACTCTCCTAATTTCCCTTGTCCTTCCCCGGAATGTAGAACGTCAATACACCTTCGGCATCTTCTATCGGACCTAAATCGAGATGTCAGCTCAGTAATAACTATATACGAAAGACGTACCGATGTAGACATAAGTGATCACACAGTGATTTTCGCATATACCTACACACCACCATCCATCAGCTCATCAGGATCATCATGACGAGAAAGGCGGAGGAGTCGACTGGAAGGAAACGGGTGACTCACACATGATGGCATCCTGGCTTATACAATGGCTCGTCAGAAACCTCAACAGCCCCTTCACCGTGACTGTTGTGGAGAACATCTGGCTATCTGGTGGGGCGGGCGGTGGGGTGACTTCTGCTCCTTCCGGGTCTGTGGTCCACAGTCAGCGTTCACCGAAGGAAGAGGGACAGGTAGAGACAGAAAGAAGACTCGCCATTAACAGAGGGCAGCCTGAGTTCTTTCCAAGTGGTAGCAAGGTTTACAGCACCGCCTTTCACAGATAGTTCGAGTTTCCCTTCCTATACCTTGGCGTCAGTCATTGCTTTATCTGCGAGCGTCCATCTTTCGCCAGAATGAGACAAATTAGAACATAAGGAAGCGAAGGGGAAGAGAGTAAGATGGAATGAAGTATACGTACGTGATTCGCTGAGACTTCCATATCATCGCCCAAATGCCCCATCCTCGCCACCACATTTCGCAGATCCAACAGATTCGGCAAGATCACATGGATCTATACTTCTCGTCAGCGTTCGTTACTCCAATGAAAGGGGAAGCAAATCCCATGGAAAGTACGCACATCAGGCTGTGGACAAAGAGGCTCTTCCAACTCCTGTTGTCGACGGGCAGAAAGGATCTTGACGTTGATCTCGTGCGTGATGCACATTTGTTTCCTGGTCGCCTGATGATACGGTAAGCATTCCGTGTTCACCACCTCTGCATCTCTGATATCGTCAAGAGAGAGAGGAAGAGAAGCGTACAGTGTATCCACGAACGCCGAAAGACCAGATCGGCTGAGAGTTGTTTTTGCCGAGTTTGAGCGTTACCTCTGCGTCGGACAGGAAGGCTTCGCTTTTGCCGTCACCCACTGCGGTTGATTGTCAGTCATCATAGTTTGAGGAGAAGACCTATCGATCTTGGCATGCTAGGGCCAACATGGCGATGGTAATAAGAGGAAAAGCTCACCAGCAGTATCGGCACTCTTCAGGACCCGATGCAAGGCGTCGAGGTTGACCTCCACCCATATCTCATTATTCATATTCGACTCGATCCTGTAGCCTTCAAACAAGGTCCCCTACAAACAAGTAAGCTCTGACTTGTGCTACATTTGCAGGGTGCAAACGGACTGTTTTGACTTGTCTATGCTCTGCGTCAGCCGAAGAAGGAAGATAAGAGAAGGGAAGGAGACGTACGACCATACTTGGACACCTGTAGCACTCTCATGGCCTGGTACAATGAACCTCAGCTGCTCTTGCGACAGCTGTATCACACATGTCTTTGCGAGCGCGGAGAGGGCGCGGATGATTTCTATCCCATCTCCATATCAGCTTTGACTTTGACTTTGTCATTCGGAAGGGAGACGGACTAGTGAGGAGGGAGACGTTCGCAATTGCTGTCCTGAACCTCATCCTCAGCAACGAGCTTTTTCGAATACCTGGCTGCTTGAGGACTGAATGGAGAACATTGTGATCTTTACATTCCATCCTCCTCTCTCTTCTCGACGCGACGCGTCTCGTAGAGGTTACGTAATCCACCGCCTTTAAGCTCTCCCGCGCCGCCGCCGGTGTGACTTGTGATGCATCGCCCCGAACCCAGCACCCATACTTTTCTTGCCACTCTTCCCTGTCCCCTCTCACCCGTCAAGCAATCCTCAACATGTGCGCTGCCCTTGCCTCTCCACTGGTCTGAGAGACGCAGAGAGTATGAGACTCATGGGAGACGGGCGCGCTGACAACAATGATACAGGTCCTCTGAACCTTACGACCCTTATATCCCTGCTGGTTCCGGTGCCGCTGGCGGGCCTTCCAACAACAACGGACAGAACAATGCCCAGAGCAAGAAGGTGGGCCTCTCCCTCAATCTGAAGGAAGACTGGAGTCACGGTGGAGGTGCCGGGAATGACCGTGCCCTCGGTGTTGCTGTTTTGCTCGTGAATCGGGGAAGCGGATGGAAAGCTGACGACCGCAATGTAGATTGCTGCTATCCAATCTCAGATCGATGAGACTATTGACACCATGCACGACAACATCACTAAAGTGACTGAGCGTGGAGAGAACTTGGACAATTTGCAGAACAAGACCGGTACGTCTTTCTTCCTGGCTTGTGATTTGCTCTTTGATATCTGTATGGGATACGGGAGGATGGGGCGTGTGCCAGTAATGGAGGCTGGGTGGGTGTTGAAGGAGAGGCGGTGCTGTGAATGGCCGAAGGCGAAAGAAGACAAATGATTATCAACTTTCACGTTCTCTATTAGCTCCGCGTACTTGTGATTCTGCACTTGTGCCATGGAGGGAACATACCCAACACAAATGATTCTTCTTCTCATTCCCCTCTCTACCTTTTGTCCGGTCACCTCGAAGAACACAAGCTGACTATGATCTGGAACGTAACAGACGAACTGGCTGTCTCTGCCCGTGGCTTCAAGACTTCGGCCTCGAACGTGCGCCGTCAAATGTGGTGGAAAGACATGAAGATGAGGGTCATCATTGGTATCGGAATCTGCGTGTTGATTATCGTTATTGTGGTGCCGATTGTCAAGGCGTGAGTGGTCTCTCTTTCTTGGGTGTTGAGCGCAAGAGTGGAGTCGGGGACGGTGACTGTATTCAGGAAGCTCAAAGCGTGGATCGATGGGGGGGCAACCAATTGCTTTGCGGACGCCATCGGGGAGAGATATCATATACTCGCCAGTACATGAGTCAATGCTGACCCTTACAACAGCGCCCAAAAGTAACATGACACTCCACTCCCCCAACACGCATTGTACACACGACTCTCTTTCACCACATCATCCCTCATGTTAACGCCTTGCTACATCCATGCTCTCGACCCTCGACGCACCTTGGCGACTGCGGAGAGACTGGAAAACAAGGGGACGGAGTCTACTCTTTCTTGTTCTTCTCGATCTTCGGTTTTCGGTTTTTTATCTGTTTCTTTTGGTTTTGGAAAACAGGATAACACTTTACGTGAATGAATGATACTCATGACCCCACCAGCCTGTCCTATTGAGAGGTGCCTATTCAAATTGTCCTTGGCCTGCGTGTTGCAAACCTTCGGGATACTTTCCTCAAGGGCGAATTTCCGTCCCAAAACACAAGCATACTCAGTTTCATCCCCACCCTCTTTCCTTCAACCAAAAGGCTCAGTTCTCTAAAGATATACGTCGATGTGTGAGTGTTGTCAATCATGGATAGAATGGCAGTTGGCAGCTGAAGACTTTCATAGGGGTGACGAGTCGTGACGAGAGCTACGAGATATACGGTTAGAAGAGCGAGGTTTGAAGAAGCTAAGCTGGACAGCCGTACGTCTCAAGCAAGCGCGGACACCATCAATGGTCTTTCATGTATCCGTGGCATGTTGCTTGAAGGCTGACTGTGTGCTTTCAGCCGAGGACCACCCAGCCTTACAATGTCATGCAAGAAAAAGTTGACGCGTCATCCTCGGCGTCAATCAACTATTCATAGTGATAGGGCGGCGCCGGTCGTTGCGATGCTTGATTGCTTTCCGCTACATACCACTTTTCGCGTATCATGCCTCTCACATGAGACCGGCACACAAGAAGAAGTCTCGGACGGTATGACCCTGCAGCCATGCCAATACAACGAGCTTGTGGATTACAATAGGCTGATTAGATAGCTTGCAGTACCCACCACGGGTTGAGATGAGGTGTCCCCGTGTGGGTCTGAATCACCCAGACCACGCATATCGCACCAGTGCTCTCGGTAGACGTCAATGAACCCTGAATTCATCTTCCTTATGCTCTTTCCGGGATCTCTCATACGGTCATTATGTCTAAAACAGTTCGGTTTGTATGACTCTGTTATCCATTCGGCATGACAACGAAGTTCTACTCTATACTAGACGTGGCTTCTGTCTGCTGGTTATAATACTGTAGTATAGCCAATCGTCGACGCTGCATTGACTCTTTCGACGACACGGTCGGTGACACTGGACCTTGAAATCCGCAGATGATATATAAGAAGAAGAGAAATACATCCTCCATCTTGGTCTCGTCTTCAAAAATCAATATCTGATAAATTATTTGACACAGGCGTCAATCATCTCCTCTTTCATCCCTTACAATCTTCAACCCTCAACTCGCTAAGCGTGGCTGATGTTTGCAATCCCATGTCTACTCATGAACAAACGACAATCGTATGGTCAGTCTTCTACTGACCTATCTCGAGTATACGATCGCCGTCCATCCTGCCTTAATATTTCCAGGTGCCACCTTCCCCTTGGGTAGGTGGTGGTACCAATTGGACACACTTCCCATCCTCAGACTCGGATGCTTTCACTGACAGCCTCAAGAGCGGCAGAATCCTGGCTAAACTGCTATGGCCGGTGCATAGTACCATCTCGGCAAGGCAGCCTTCTTGCCGCCTCAAAAACTCAGATAAATAAGTGAGCGGACCAGCTTCGTTCTTTTCACTCGGGTCATCTGTCTGATGGCGCTGTTGAGCCAAACTGTTGTTTGGGCCCCTGACAGCCGGCATAAACATCATGGTAAGACTCTCGCGGCGTGGTTTCTTGAATAGTCTAGGCATAGCAGATAAAAGGCGAAGTAATTCCAAACCCAAGTAAAGAGACTGATAGTAGGTCTTGCCTCGCGAGTCAAGAGGGAGGGACGGGACCTGGATCACAGAGTGTTTTGTGTTCTGGCCTAAACCCGATGTGGTCATGAAGTCGGATAATGGTCTTCATCAACCATTGAGTGGAATAGTTGGTTTGGCCAAGCCTATAACGAGACACATTGCCTGCCTCAAGATTACCCTTGAACAAATAGTCTCCCATGTATCCGCAGAAGGTTGTTTTTTCTGCATTGGGCATGTAAATGCCGTCCGGGTAGATGGAGGATCTGAGACCTAGCTCTTGACAAATCTCCCAGTGGAGGAGAGGTATTTCTTTAGCACCTGGCGGCAGAGTCTGCCACGAGTGTCGATACCCGGTACGCACGCCTTGACGACGATATGTTGGTATCATTTCTCTGGTACCATCGGATTGTAATTCTCCCTTTGGTACATACACCAAGGGAGGAAAGTAGATACACACTTCTCTGACTAGTCTCAAAGCTTCCTTCTTTCGACCGTTCGGAGATTTATACCCTTGCATGAATCCTGTGACTGGTATATTGTGGGGGTCATTGAAGCACACTTTGGTGTACAGCTTTGGGATAAAGTACTCGTAACAGTACTTGCTGAGCGATACAGTGATAGAGGGTTTGACGAGAAATAGCTCATCAAGGATAAGATGGTGCACCGGACGCAGGCACTCCATATTGACGAGTGCCAGGGCAGAAGGATGGTAGATATGTCGGAAGATTTCCGCTTCACTTTTATACGCCTTGGTTTTGTCTGAGTCTGTCATGCAGTTAATTTCATTGAAGCCACCATAAACCTGAACCTCTACTCACCTTGATTCTCTCCAGAGTCTTCCTCGTCGTCTTTCCAAGATGACGCGGGTATGGCCTGTTTTGGCGCAAATTCACGCATCCATTCTCGGTAGGCTATTTCCTCTGAGTCGTCATATTCATCTGTACCTTCTTCGATACGCTGGATAATCGAGGCCGGTTTGGATTTATCTTTGTCGTAGTCTTTGTGAATAGGGGGCCATTTCCACCATTCCTCACGTTGGATGCGGAAGAATTCCTGCATCCGAACAAGTTCGTCCTCGGCCATGCTGGTGGCGGTTGTTCTTCTTTTTCCCATAGTGGCGAGATGTAAAATCACAATGAGAGATCAACGGAAATTTCCCCCTTATATATGCTAGCACAACTCGGATACAACGCTTGCCTGTTTTAGAGCGCATACAAGGCCGATTGGCATATCATGTTTCCGCTAAAGCGCCGCGTTCCCGCTTGCTGAGTCTCATTTATTCATGCAGCTCACAAGGTCCTACATACTACCAGAGTATGAAACAGACTATCGGCTTGTCCATCTATATCTACCAACCCAAGATGTTGGTAGGTGGAGGTCATCATTACAGATTGTTGGCGCAGCACATCGCTGGTTGTCAGTCATGTAGTTTGTGATACGCAGTCGTTCGAAGCGGCCATTCAGAAGCAAATGTACCCCCCTGCCCTCCTGGATAAACCTAGAGATCCCACTTCTCAGTGGTGCACCACTTGTCAGTGGCGTCGGGGATGAGGTCAGCCAGCCCAGCAAAAACGTTCGTCATGCGGTTGATAGAAGGCAGTCAGGGATCGCTTTTTTGACATTAAGCATCAGGATCAGCCCCTCTCCTCCTGACCGCACTCTGGCGCCTCCATGCCTCCATACTCTATAGCCACTCCCGCAGGGCTGTTGACGCGTGTTGACCTCGGAGTGCGGTGATCCGTGGCGCGTCGCGTCTCTAACACCTCCCAAAGGACGGATGACGCGACTGCCCCATCCCCACCAGATCACCCTCAGCTGCACATATATAACCCCCACAATTCCCGTCCCCCTCTTCTTTTTCTTTTCTTCATCCCCCTCCAGCCACGCCCCACACCATGGCACCAAGCGTGACGATCACCGGCCCTGCCGACCTCCAGAACCTCCTCACTACCGGTGTCCCCCTCCGCGGCCTCAAAGAAATCATTATAGACGCCCAAGATGACGCCCACTCCATGCCCGCAAATCTCGCAGACCTAAACACTCTGATCACCCAAGGCCAACGAAGCCCTCCCACCGTGACTTTGTGCAACGTCCCGTGGCCGTCCCCGGCCATCGCTTCCCCCGTCGCAGATTTGCTCTTGAAGCTCATGAAGGGTTCTCACGCTTGTGCCACCCATCTTCGTGTGAACCTCCCCGACCATTCGTACGACGGGCCACTTACACGAAGTATGAATATCCGACTCATCTCCACCGACCCCCCCGTCAACCACGACGATGATATCCTCCTTCTTACAGAATGGGTGGAGTCGGCGACGCAGAGGACCTTGCCGAATGACGAGTGGCTGGCCGAGGCAACGGCTGGGAGCAAGGAGAAGGCGGTGTTTTGGGAAACCTGCGTGGTGGAGGAGAGGTGGGAGATCAGCTTGGGTTGGAGCGGTTAGTCTCGGGTGTGTGTAGTTTCATCATCAAGGTTGATCTTGGGATTGATACAAGCATAAAGTCCTGCGTGCCGGCCAAGGGTAGATGGAGTGAGGAGCGAGGTTCACGGTGTCCCCAACAGTCAATTCCCTGCTTCTTTCCTGTTCCCTTCTTTCATTTGAGCCTTCTCACGCCCACCTTGCATTTCTGTCTCCATCGCGTCGCCTCTCTCATACTCTGTGAACCAAGTCGCTAGTAGCCCATGCCCTCTTGGCTCACGATATCACTCGGTGCTCTATACAATATTCATACACTACTCTACACCCAGCCTGGATGACTACAACATTATCGGACCGCCCTTGCTTTCGCTCAAGAACGCTTCTCTCCCATTAACCTCGTCCTCTTCCTCGCTCTCGCCACACTCCCATCCTCCGTCTCTTTTGCACCAAGCTGTGCTCTCGTCGAAACGGCCTTCCGCTTTTCTCCAACCTTCTCCCTCGTCTTCCCTCCAACGGTGCTTTCTTCTTCTTCTTCGGGTCCTTCATCCTCAGCATCATCCCGCTTTGCCCGTTTCACAGTCGACCTCGCTCTCGCGCCCGCGCCGGTAGCCTGTCTTTTCTTCTCCGCCGCTTCCCTCTTTGAGTTGACTGACGGAGAGGTCACCGCTGCTGCGCGAGACGTCGTTGTTTTAGAAGACGAAGCAGGAAGAGCGTTCAAAGTCGCCGATCGCGCAATCCCTTTGCCTTTCCTTGAGCTTGCCCTCCCACCACCGGCGGCGCTGGCAACATCGAAAGCCACAGCTTCTCTCCTCGCTCGACTAGCTGTAGTAGACAACATAGCCGTCGACCTTGAAGCAGGGAGTGGTCTGCTGTTGGTAGCGACGGAGGTATTGGAGAGGTTGACAGATGTGGAGCTCCTGTTAGGGACGGCGCTGGAAAGGGTCGATGGGGGAGGATGTGAGACCGTGAATTTGACGGCAGTGTGCTCTGGGTGAGAGGGATGGAGGCGTTTGGAAGGCTTGCCTAGTCTTCCTGCTAGGGGGGCTGTAGCTGAGGCCCTGGGCCGTTCTTTCTCCTCGTTGTCTTTCAGCGCCCTCTTTGTGACCCTCACAGCCTCGCCTTGCCCATCTTCTTCCAGAGGAGGCACATACTCCTCGTCATCGGTCTTCCGCTTTCCCTTGTTTCTCCGAGGCGACCGTCTGACAGGTTCGTCCAGCACGATACCCAACAGCCCTGATCCCTGAGACTTCGTTTTCGAGCCGGATGCGACAGCATTGACCGCTTGCAGAGGAGGAGGAGTCGAAGGAACGACAATGATAGGATGGGTGGGAACAGCAGGGAAAGACGGAAGGGCAGGAGAAGCACGTCTTGGACGACGAACTGGGGGTGCTGGAGGCGCTTGAGGGAGAGGCGGAGGAGAGAGTATGATGGGTTCGAGGGGTCGACGGACGCGGGTCGTCGACTTGGGGACAGGGTTTGTGGGCCGTGCTGGAGTCTTTCGGGGCAAGGCGTTTGGAGCTGAAGGAGGGATCCTGGGTGGAGGGGAGTGGGGAGGTGTGAGATGTGCACCATCCCGAGGATGCGCAGGTTTGGGAGAAGGCTGAAGAATGTGCCATCCTATTTTCACCCAAGAGACAGCTCGCTGAATCCCCCCGCTCCATCCTCCCTGCCTGATCACTCCAAGACATGACCAGACCTTGCCAAACGGCAGCTCGATACCAAAGTGGTATACCAGCGCGAAAAGCGATTCGAGGAGATGGATCGATATGTCGATCGGGGTTTCGTATGGTTTGACGAGCGGGCTGAGGGATGATAGTATCGCTGCAGAAGACTAGACCGAGGTGAGCTTTACAGACCGATGATTGACTTTGAGAGAGGCGGCGGCGTACGGCAAGACGGGTAAACAGAAAGCATAGGCAGACGACTGCTTTGATGGGTGCGTAGAGCGGGATCCAGGCAACGAGGGTAGATATGATAGGACTGATTGATGTTCCTAGTATCTGTGTTATCGATCAGCGTCTTCTCTAGTAGGTTATAGCAAAAGTCTGGAAGGAACCAAACAAGACACGAGCAAGGGCGGCATTGACTCACGTATATGATCCAGCAAGCTAGCGCCTCTCTCATGACCTTCTTCCTGGTTTGTATCCCAATTCTTCTTCCATTTGACCTGACCGTCCGCAGTGCTCGAAGCGTATCCAGCAGATTCAGTGCCAGCCTGACATGCTCATGAGCTTTGGCTTCGAGGTGAAAAGAGGCACTTACCAGGCTGTCCGGAGGACCTTACCCTCCCAGGCAAGAAGCCCCAGTACCCCCATTGAGAGTACAAGCCCCCAAGTGTCGCCCATGAGTTGCTGCTGTTGCTTCAAGACCCAAATTCAGACGTCAACAAAGAAAACAAACGCGTAAATGGCTCCGCTTAGGAGGAATATAAATGCCCCGGGTTTTCATCATTTTCTCCCGAAACGGCTCTCATCCCCAGCCATTTACCATCTCTTCTTGCCTTTGCATCCGTCTCATCTACACATTTTGCCCCCTCTCCTCTCCCTTCCCCCCAGTCTACCTCTCTTTATACCCAGATAGTGTGCAGCAAAGATGGCTCTGGATTATGACCAGTTCAAGGGGTGAGTCTGTCTCTTCATACGCTGTTCGAGTAACTTACGGCGGGTAGAAAGCCTTTCCAGGTAATCTCCAAGCTTGGTGTACGATACACTGGTATCTTTGACCATATCAGTCAGGAAGACCAGACCATCTGTCTTGCTCAGGGTAAGCCTTCCACGTGTCTTTGTGTGTGGACGGAGACTGACTTGCGCAGTGTACAACCATGGTACCGAGGACCGTCCCACAGCTCGACAGCTGCCGGGATCAACAAAATCATTAGGATGGGTCAGGTTTAGGTACGCCGCTTTGCTCCTTTGTTGACTGGGCGTGGCTGACTCGAGCCTCAGGACGGAATCCATCGACTCAATATCGCTGGTGGAGAACTATGTCGTCCCTGGGACCGAGCCGCAACCAGAAGAAGACCCCATTCTTGCCTCTGTCGTGAGTCTACATTCCTTTGTGCAGGCGTGGAAGAGGTGCCGATATGATGAAACATTTTTCGGATGTAAATGCCTTCGGGCGCAAGTCCGAGAGCGCAAAACCAAGTGGACACCTCCGTTGCCTTCCTTCTGATCTATCACCTCTTCCACGCCTTCTTTTGTGTGCTTCAGACAAGTGCATGGCTGACAATGAAATAGTCGCAAGATGCTCCATCATCTGTAGCACAACCACCTCAACACGCCATTAGCCCTGCAGAACAGCGCTACGACCTTCCCGCGAAACCCTCAACCTCTGCCATCTCTGCCGCTACCGCGCTTTCCCGCGTCGAGCGGTCCTTGTCTGAACTGTCCACCAACGACCACCCCCCTCGTCGTGGTTCCAACCAGGGCCAGCAAGGCTACGGAAACGGTTATGGCAGAGGCTATGGCAAGGAAGTGAAGCAGCCTGAAGTACCGGATGCCGAGTTTGACTTTGCAAAGGCAAACGAGCGATTCGAAAAGGAGCGGGAGGCGATCAAGTATGCGAGCGCCCAAGGCCCCGTGGTCATCGGCGAAGTCGCTCCCAACCCTGCTCTTGCCCAAACACAATCACCGCCCCCTCCCTCCCTCTCTGCTTTTCTCTCACCTCAACCGGATCAGGCTGGTCCCATTTCTCCCCCGGCGGCGGCAAAGTACCAGAAATCGTCATTCTTTGACAATATCTCGCACTCGACAGGGAAGGTCAGCCGGAACGAGGAACGTCATCGTAACCTCGACACGTTTGGAGAAGCTGGTGGACCGCCTCCTGGTGCTTTTGCAGGCCAAGGACGAGGAGGTTTCGGCGGACGCGGACGGGGCCGAGGTGGATATGGTGGAGAACAGCAGGGGAGTTATGGAGGGTATGGGTATGGGAATAGGGGACGAGGGGGTTATAGCCGGGGTGGTGGGAGGGGCGGGTATGGTCAGCAATCTGGAGGAGATTTGTAAAAAGTCGATCGAAGTGTTTTCATCGAGGTTGTAGAGTTATATATATATATCAATAGGGGATAAAGAAGATAGTGAGAAGCACATGTATAAAGTACTGCAATTATCAGTTGTGTTGTGCAAGGAATGAGTTCTTATGGCGAGGCTGAGGTTTTGGTCGATACGGTTGCAGCACGAAGCATGCCCCATCATTCCTCAAGCGGCGACTGTTGTTGAGCATGGACACTTGCTCTTCCACAAGTCTGGCCATATGGTCTCATCCTTGAGATCTCTCACGCCTCTTCTCAACCCCTGGCCCGCAGGGAAGACTGAAAGGAGTATGATATAAGACAGAAGCTCTTATTTCTGATTGTTTGGATTATGGGAATGATCCCTGTACGCACGCTTCTTCCGATACCGATTTCGTGGGAGGGACGATCATCCCACAATATATCCCTTCTTCTCCATCCGACATAAATATGTGAGCATGTGCAAAGACCGGGAGGAGTGTCCGCACCACCAACCAACACCGAGTAAAGCCAAAAAGATGTCGTCGTCCCGAGCTACTTGCCAAGTCTGGTCTGCGCCGACATCGTTGAAGGAAAGTGGAGACGGCTATGACGAAGACACGTATCTCATCAACGGCATTCTACACAAGAGCATGCTGCAAACTCCCTCCTCCAAGCAGATCAACGGAGAGGAGGTGGAGATAGATGAAGGAAAAGAGGAGAAGAAAGCATACGTCTGGAGCCACACCTCCATCGCGTCTGGTCAAGACATCTACCGCGGATCATTCACCACCACTTTCTCCACCCATGCAAGCAGAGATACCAAAGACAAGAGCGACACCGAGCGTACAGCCCTCGCCAACGAAGTACTCGCCTATCTCCGCGATACCCTCTCCCTCACCCAATCCCGATGGGCACCCCTCTGCCGCCAGACCAACAGCTCGCATCCTCTAGTCGAAGCCGAGCAAAAGGCGTTTTACGAGTTGGTTGACAAGTCGGAACCAAAGTATGACCATATAGGTTTGGGGAGTGTTGGAATGGAGATGACGCGGCAGGTGATGTTGTATGGCGATAGTGGGATTGATGTGTCGAAGAAATGATGGGAGTGTTCTTGCAGTAGGAGGGTAATGCATGACGAATAGCATGTCACTGCATCTACGTCTGTCACCATGCTTGTTCTGTATGTACACCCACCAGAGTCTTCTCATGCATAGTGTACCCTTCGTCCCGTTGCTACCAAGCCAATGACTACATCAGTTGTAGATGTTCAGACGCGAGAGATGACATCAGCAAATGATTTCCATATACTTCTGACCCATGCATACATATATCAATCCTTCCTTTCCAACTATAATTGTCTAAATCCAACAAAGATCTGCTCTGTCTCTAAACGCCCGATAACCGCCTGCCGTCCAAACTCGCCCGTCTAAAACATCCCAGCGACTGCTTCTCCCCACTCGTCTGGCCCGTACTCGTTCCCGGCCTCGCCCCGCCCGACACCTTCCTCCCAGCCCCAAACGCCGACGGCGCCGTCCCAGACCCAGACCCAGACCCTTTCTGCCCCCTGATAGGTTTCGCATCCAACCACATATCCATCAACGCCCGTCTCTGCCTCTCCTTCTCTTCTCGCTCTTTGATAAAGTCGGCGGAAGAGCCCGAGCCGGAGGTGGGGGTGGAGGTGGAGGTGGTGGAGATGACGGAGGGTGAACTCGGGCGGGGGGTTGGGTCCGCGGGGAGAGGTTTGGTCGTTGGAGCTGGCGCTGGCGATGGCGATGGTGCTGGCGCTGGTGCTGGTGCTGGGGCCGGGGCGGCCTTGGGGATGGTGGTAGGGATAGACGGGGAGGGAGACGTGGAAATGGCGCTTTTGAAAGCAGCCAGCGGGTTCGGCGTCGTCGGCGTCGGGTAAGGCCCACCACTCGCACTCGCGCTCCCCTTCCTCTTCACACTCCCCTTCCCACCTTCACTCGCACCACCCAACTCGACTTCCAACCCCACCGCACGGCCAACACCAGACGGTTTGCGTCTCAGCCGCTTTTCCTCGCCACCTTCCTTCTTGCGCTTGTCGGGCGCAGCTGATGAGATGGGTGTCGGGGTTGTAGCTGGTGTGATCGGCAAGGCGGGGTGGGCTTGGGGGTGAGAAGATTGAGAGGGTAGAGGCGTGATGGGCGGGGACCGTAAGAACTCTTGTGCACTACTCTGCGGCAGAGACCCGGCTCCAAACGCAGGCGCCCTCTCTTCCGAGATCGACCCTTGGCCCCTCGTCCTCGGCCTCGGTGGCGGCATCAACCCCTTCCTCTCCCTCTCTTCTTGTTCCCGGGCGTGGATCTGCCATTCGTCTTCTTCCCACTCTTGCGTCGTATGCCCCGTCAACGCCGTCGGCCTCACCAACCCGTTCAGCCCCAGGGAGTCTGTATGGGCGCTTGCGTTGACGGGGGAGAAGGATGATGGTGGGTGTGGCGCCGCGTTGGGGGAAGCGTTGTTGGAGGTCGTGGTGGGGGAAGCCAAACTAGCCAACATAGTCCTAGCCCTCTGTTCCTGCGCCAAATGCAACGACTGATGTTTCGCCGCATTCGCCTCCTTCTCCGATCTATACTCTTCTTTCACCCCTTGCAGCTTTGCTCCTTGCCCTTGGGCTTCAGAAGAAGAGGACGGTTTGGGGATGAAGAATAGGGAACATTCCGAAGTCGAGTCGGAACCTGCTACGCTGACGCTAGCGCTCGTGCGATATTCTTCCTTCGTCCCCTTGCCCGTACCCGGGGCCATGGTCGTACTTGTACTCTCATACCCCTCTTTCTCCCTGTCGGCCGGAGTCTGCGCATCTGGCCTGCCCCCAGAAACAGGGGCAGAAACAGGCGTAGAAGCGGAAGAACCCCGCCCAAACATCTTTTCCATCCTCCCAGACTTTCTCCTCCCGCTCCGACTCCGCCCCTCCTCCCCAATCTTGCTCCTCTCACTCGGGGGGATGATATACACATCCTCCACTTGTCCTTCTTGGTGTTGGTGCTGGAGCTGTTGTTTGACGGGGGAGAGAGGGGCGGGGGCGAGCCGGTCAGTCCAGGGGCGGGCGATACCTTCTTGGCTGTCCACTTGGATTTGGCTGTGTACCTGGGGGTAGGGCGAGGGAAGGCTCGTTCGAGAGCTTTGTTGCGAGTTGGGAGGAGAGTACAATGTTGCCCCTCCCGGTGGTGACCTTGGCGACGACGCAACTTTCTCCCCGCCCTTCTTCTGCCCCAACCGTCCCCTGAGGCCCTTCATAACACTCCCCAAAGCACTGAAATCCGGTAATCCCCCGACAGCATCCATCCCACTGACTTGCCCGCCCCTACTCCCCGGCGCAGCAACAGCACCAGAGACGACCGACGTCGATGAATTCGAACTGGAAACCGATCGGGCGGACGAACTGGCTTTGCGCGGTATGTGCCGGGGCGTCGTAGGGGGTGGGCCGCCAGAGGCGGAGGGGGAGAGGGAGAAGGATGCAGAGTGGGAGGAGAAGGAGGATGAGGAGGTGTTGGCGCGGGGTTTGGTTTGGCGGGTGTGCATGGCTGATGGAGGGGGAGGTGAGGTGGAGGATTGGGCTTTGGCGAGGCTTTGACTTGGGTAATGCTCGTCCAGCGCTGAGAAACCCATCGCTTTTGCATTCTATCAGCTTGGTGTCCTCAAGGGAGAAGGGGAAAGGGGACGTACAGTGTTCATCTCGGGGACCAGTCTTTATCCTCGTCGATCCTGACCATTCTGAAGGTAGACCCATGGTACCAGACTTGGGCGATATCGACGCGCTCGCCCCTCGCCCGGGTAAGGGAATGCCAGTAAGTGACCGTGGTACATTCCTATTCCATCATCAGCCTTACCCCTTGATAGTTGGAAGAAGAGGGAGACTTACTCTGCGGGTACGTTGATAACTTCCATCTTTCCTTCCCGCTCATCATCACTCTCCATCCTCCTATCCACTTTCACCCACTCTCTCACCCGTCCACCGGCACCTGCGCTGACGCTCGGAGTGCCGCTACTAGAAGTAGACGACCGGGGGCGAAACATGTCTTGTACTGTCAACCCTCTAGGTTTCAATGTATTCGTCGAAAGCGTATTCTGTCTCGGGGTGGTATTGAATGAAGAGGGGTATTCGGGGGGAGGCTGGGAAGGGTCGAGAAGACTGATCGAACTGGTATTCGCGGGGAAAGAACTGTACGACCGATCGCCCAAGTATGCCGGAGCGGGACCTCCGGGACCTCTGTCGGGTTTTGAAGATGGATAGCTCGGCCGTGCGCTCGACCGTCTCGGTATCGGCGGTGCTCTCTCGGAGGCACTCGAGTATCTCGTGCCAACCACAGAAGACTTTGTGTCGACGTGTGCACCTGGGGGCGGGGGGGGCAGACCTCTCGGCGCTGGGGCGGGGGGTATATGCCGGCCAGTGAGGCGGTACGATGCCGCTTGCGTTTCAGGTCTGTGCCGAGAATAGATGCTTTCGAGGGAGGGGCGCGGTTGTGAGGGTGGAGGTGGCCGTGGCTTCTTTCTCGTGAGGGGCGCAGTGTTCGGGGGCGGGGGGAGGGGGCCGTGCGGTGTAGTATAAGTATGCCGCTGCTTATTCCAGAACGTGTTAGCTGTTCCTCCGTGCCTCGGCAGTAGCAGGCTAGCGGGACACGAACCTTCGCCGTACCTCCCGCATTTTTCGACCCGTACCCCCACCCGTCCCCTTCCACCCTCCCGCGCAATTTCTCTAGCATCACCAGCGCATCGTCCTCGCCTTCCCATCCCGACCGGGCGTCCGCCGCCACAGGGGGGGCCCATGCCGCGCCCGGGGGTACCGGAGGGAGCGGAGGCGGCCGCACAGGGGGGACCTTCATAGACTGTGTTCGCTGTCGGCTACCGTGAAACGAAGGCACATCGGGCGTCGATGGCTGCGTACTGCTCCCTCCCCCTACTCCCCCCCTCGCCTCCCATTCCATCTCCCAGCTATCCCTCTTCCGCCCTTCTCGCCCATAGCTCGACCCGCTCGGAGGGGGCATCATCACCGGCAGCTTCATCGTCCCTCTTCTGCTCCTCCCCTCGCGCTCTTTGTATAGCTCGGCAGCGGAGGGTGCAGGGTGGGTGGGAATGTCGTATGCATCCATGACGTGTTGGATACTCGGCATCCCATTCAACGACTTGTGCCCCTTGGACCCCCTGGAGGCTTTTGAGGTTGCATTGTTGGAGAAGGGGGAGAAGGAGTGCGCTGGGGAGGTCGGCGTCGGGGCGGGGGAAGGGTTGGGGGAGGGGGTAGCGGTGCGGGATGATTTGGGGCGGAGGGAGGCGAGGTCAAAGTGGAAGAAGGAGGCCCCGTCCTGTGGCTGGCGTTTCTTGATGAGCGGCATCCTGCTTACAGTAGAATGGCAAGAGAACAACAATATGTACAAGTCATGGCGGCTTACGCGTAGAAGGCCCGAGCGCCCAAGTTGCACAGACAATAGCGTTTCAGCGGGGGTGTGTTCCAAAGGACACCGGGTAGAGCATCCGGTGCTGTGCCGGCCGTGTTGCAGGGGGGAGGGAGGGTGGTGCGCATACACAACACCACCGAGACACCCTGTTGATCGGGAACAGGAAGGCGGATCGTGCGAGCGTCGGCCGCCGGGCATCTTGTCAGTTTCAGGTAACAAGATATTCAAACGGGCACTTTCATATATATATGCACACCCCGCTCTTACGCCCCTCGTTCCGAATCAACCCGTCCCAACACCCCACCCCTCCTCCCTCAACGCCCTCACACTCTCCCCAATCCTCTCCCCCCTCATACTCTCCTCCTTCCCCACTTCAACCCCCTCCTTGATCCCCATCAACACCCCCTTGTCTTTACTCTTCATGACAGCTTCGATCAGCTGTCCAAAGTCTGGCGGGGTCGGGGCAAGAGGCGGGAAGAGCGCTACGCTTTCCGGGTATTGGCCGGGGAGGTAGCAGAGGGTGAGGTTGGAGGGGGCAAATAGCACTTTGGAGTATGTCTGGGAGTAGAGATTTGTCTTTTTTGTGTTGTTTCTCTGTCAGCCTGCTTCCTTCTTGCGGGGGCGGAGGGCCGAGGGGGAGGGACTGACGAAAGGAATCATCAATGAATTCATGGGCAAACTGCCTTCTTGATCCTCTCGAAAATCGATCTGCTGGTCTGCTACCCAATACACCTATTCCCCCGTCGGCCCATCATCAGCATACTTCTTTCTCCCCTCTCGGATGGAGCAACAGGAACAGATGAATAGACGGGAAAAGGGGGGGACGTACATTGTAATCAGTAACCCAAACTTTCCCCTTTTCCGCTTTCAACACCCTCTTCTTCCCCTTCCCCTTCCCCTTCCCCTTGCTGTTGCTGCTGCTGTTGCTGTTGTCTGAGGAGCCAAAGCTCGGGGGCAGGACGAGATGCATATCCACAGCGTGCGGGCCTGCTGTAAACGTCTCGCCTGTATGATTGGTTTCGTTTGTGAGTTTTTTGGGATAGGCTGAGGGCAGGGGAGGAAGGGGGACGGACCGTATGCAGCTATATCAGGCTGGCCATCTCGTGTGAGCTTGACGTCGTTCAGCGACATGGTCCGGCTGGTTATACAGTATGATGCTTGTAAAAACTGGTAGAATGAATGACGGCCCAAGAGAACAAAACTGAAAGAGCGGGGTTGATCATCCGTCCATGCCACGTTTTTTCCAAGCCACAGGCCACAGAAGCAGAAGTGGAGGCACGATCAGCAAGTGAGTACATATGCCAAGAAGGAAAGGGTGCCTTTATGTCTTTTCGGCTTCGGATTCTTCGGGGCGTGCGTTTTCGGAAGACCGGTGATAACCGACTTTTACCGTAAAGATAACCCTCCTCCTCTTCCATCTGTGATCCGCAGTCTAGTCATGCCCCCCCCCCCAGTCCAAAAAACCTTCTACGTGAGATGGGGTTTTGCAGGCGTTGTCCCAAGCAAGTTGCTCGATATCCAAAGGATCAATGGGTGCTATTGGTGTCATCAGAGTCACGGGAGCCCTCAGAAGCCGAAAGATAGTTGTCCCCAATGGCGTATAGGCTCATGTCTCAAGGAGGTCAATCCAGCCGCTGCAGCCCTTCGCTGGCAATTGGCCATCAAATCGCAGGCGGCGCTATCATGTCCCATTCATAAAAGGCTTGTGGCATACATACTAGATAGCGCATTGTCATCATCTGCATCATTGATGGCAAGTCAAGCGAGGGCAGTACAGCCCCAGCCAGCTCGCGTGTATTTCAAAGCTCACTCATGCCTCTCAGCCACTCCAGCACCCTGCCATACCCCCCAAAGCCTCACACTAAAACCCTCTTGCATCATCCCCAAACACTGTTCTACTGCTCTTCCTCTGCTTTCAGCTCCACGTCGTCACACTCTATGCATTGTTGATATCTTCCAGAAACACTTGCATCTGCAGGCAGCACATGTATGCTCTGATGAATGCTTCCCGGCTCAACTGACAGATACTCAGCAGTACTATATTTCGAGATGTCTCTAGATGACTACTCACAACACGATCCTCAAAGCGAAACTCGTACACATGAATCTTCTTTTCATGCCCACCACACATCATGGGCTCGGAATTCAACTTGTCCCCAAACCCACCTGATCCACCCATGTTCAGGAGGGTAAAAACCATCCCACCACATCATTCCCTCCCTCATCCGGTTTCGCAGGCCCGTATTTGAGCAGCATAAACTCTCCCAAAGCTTTGGAGAGTTCTTCGACGTCCCACATGTGGTTTTTCTTATCGGGACGGTATTTCCACGACGGACGAGTGCGACTGCTGGTATTGTCGTCGTCCGATTTGGCGGCAGGCAAAGGTGCGGGCTGGGGTTTGCCGGTACTGAATCGGGGTGGGGTTCGGTTGTAGCGTCAAGGCTGATGTGCATGGCGATGAGTGTGTTTGGGAGGCCTTTGAGTAGTAAGACGGGATGGGAGTGCAAAGAAAGAAGTGGGTACTAGATGAACATTATGTCGTTCCCGCTAATGATGCAATGTTCTCATTCTCCTTCCTTCTTTCTGCGGGAATCGTCCTGATTGATTATTTTCTCTCATCTCAGAAAAAAAAAGGGAGACAACCTCAGGATGAGGGACAATGACTCGTGTTTGGCCTGATGCAGAAAGATCATTCTACAACAGTGCCACGCAGTGTCTGAAGGGCTCGATGTTGACCGGAAATTCCCCGATAGCGAAGGGGACTGCAATATGCTGCTGCTATTAGCTTTTCCATCTCAATGATAGAGCACTCAGATGAATCTGTCCGAAAAAAAAGCGTGGCATCGTGCAGTCCAGGTTCTGGTTGAGTGACGACCACCGAGACAAGCGGAGTTGCGGCGATCTCCGTGCACACATCACTACTGGCTCGACACGCATTCTTTGATTTCTCAGCCTCTCTTACATCTTGAGCCCGTCTACTGGAGCAGCATAATGCCCTCCCTCGATCCTGAAGCGCAACACCTCTCACCAAGAGATTTTGACCTCGACCCCGATCTCAATGACGACGGTCCCACCGCAGTCCCATCTCGTTCGCCCTACCACTTGCCTCGGAGTGAACAACTGCGCGGTGTAGCCAACAGAATACTGTTCAGTCGGTATTATATCCTGTTCTATGGGGCTATGATGGGGCTAAGTTTGGCGACGCTGGTGCTTAGTCTTATAGCGACGCGTGCGTTGTCCCTTTTGCTCAAGTCGTCGATGCTAATGTCAATGGTGCAGACAAGGGCGACTGTCCACCGATCGCATGGCATATTATTGAGGTCATACTCAACGGCCTGATGGTCCTCGAGGTGACAACGAGGTGGTTTGCGAACGGCAAGGTACGTGCTTCTCACTTTTGTGTTGTTCCCTATTGACACACAGCAGACATTTCCCATAACATTCCTCAACATTGTCGACCTCACCCTGTTGGCATTCTGCCTCTTCACCCTCCTCCTCGTCTTCTTCTCTCCTTGCTCCTCATCCACCCGCTCAGAAGAGATATTCGACACCATCCTCCTGGTCGGACGAAATGCCATCCAGTTCCTCCGTCTTGGCGCGATTCTCAGACGGTCGGGGCATTCGTGGATGAATCCGCCCAAAGCAATCGATCTCAGCCGAGCTAGAGAGGTGGACTTTGATTGGGAGGATGAAGAGGATACGGAGAGGCGGGTTAATGAGGGCGGACTTGGAGGGAGAAGCTTGGTAGGGAGTGGAGGGGGGCGAGGAGGGTATGATAGAGTGTCACAGGAGGAGAGGAGAGCGGGGACCGGAGTGCAGAACAATGCGGGAAGGGAAGGGCTGAGTGCGGACGATGAAGAGCTGTGGGATAGATTATAGCGTGCCAATTACCAATCATATAATGCACATGTCGCTTGTATCAAGATGATCTTGCCTATTATGCATGGCCTACAGATCATACATACGTACAGCTCGGGGTAGCTCATGACCTCTCATCTTCATGCTCCTGCTCTCCTCCAACCCCAGTCCCCTCAGCTTCAATCCTGTCAATCACCCTATCCCTCTTCTCACTGCTCGCAAACAGCGCCCTCACAAGCCCAATAAGCTCGTCGGGCGTAAAGTCCACCAGCGCATTCTGGTCCAGCAGGTAGGTGATATCCACGAGGTTGGCTTGCTGTTCCATGGTCAGTGTTGAACGAGATTGTAGAGGACGGAGGGCGTACAAGAATCTCGGCGATGTAGCAGAATTTCAGCCATCCCCTGACGTGCCCTACAACTCCCTCTCCGCCTGCAAACAGGTTCTCTAGTGGGTAAACCAGCCTCACGAGTTCTGTCAGTCGGTTTGACTCGATCTCGGTAATGTCGGATAGAGAGAGGACGAATGAGGATAGACGGGAGGTAAAGTGGGTGAGCAGAGTGCCAAGGAGGGGATATCGCTCAGATTGCGGAACGACGGGCTGTGTCATTGTCAGTTCAAGTCCTCATCTGAAGAGGGACGAACGTACCTTGATGACCCGACTCAAACTTTCCAACTCAAACACCAACCCCTTGATGCACTTTTCGCTATCTCTAAACACGACATCATCCCCAGTCCCCTCAAGCCTCTTCACCCCTTCCAGCTCGGTATCGATCTGTCCCAGTTGATTCGTGATGAACGCTTCCAGTAGATGATCGCCGAGGGCGAGCAACGCATCTTGTTCTCTCTCAAAGTCCCAGGACGACTCTGGTGAATCTGCTGAAGAGGATAGGGAGGGTAGAGAGAAGGATAAAAAGTTGGTGTCGTTGTACGCTTGGAGAGCGAGAGAAGGAACTTCGAGGAGCTGTTGAGAGTAGTAGGTGGGTAGCAGGGCGCGGTAGAGGGTAAACACTTCGGCGATTGCTTGGTGGATGGTTGTATATGTAGAAGCGTTCTCGAACGAGGGCGAGTCCAATCTGCGGAGCCAAGAAAGTCAGCTTGGTAAGACCATGATGTGAGGGACGCACTTTGTAGACTTCAATTCGTCAACTTCCTTGAGCAACCTCCGAGCGATGATCAGAAGCTCTTCACACCCTTTCGACACCTGGTACACCTCCTTGATGACCTTTCTCTCCTCCTTCAACGCCGTCCTCTTTCTCTTCTTTGGCGAAGCAGTCACATCTTCCCTGATCTCTGGTACTGGAACGGGAGCAACCACATGCGCATCATCCTCCCATCCCCAGCCTCCCTCCACCTCATCCGTAAGAGCGGGAGACGACACCGCATCAGATACAGATGCAGGCGCAGGCACAGCAGCGGCAACAGGCGCCTCAACATCCCAGGGATCATACTCCTTCTTGACCTGCTTGCCCACCTTCTTCCCAAGCTTTTTCGCTTCCCTCGGTGCTTTCGCCTTTGGTTTTGGCTCTTTCTCAGCATGCACGACTCCATTTCCATTGATCTCTTGCCCAGAAACAGAAGTACTAGCCGACACAGGCGTCTCGGACCGAGAGGAAGAAGCTTCCGAAACCTCAGAAGGTGTGGGTGCAAGGTCAGGGACCGGGTCCCAAGGGTCATGCTCTTTTGGCTTTTTGGCAGCCTTCTTGCCTAAACGTTTGGCTTCCCGTGGAGCTTTGGTAGGTTTGGGAACTTCTATTGGGGTTGGTTCGGTAGCGGGTGTGGGTAATGTCTCTGGTTCGGGTTCGGGTTCGGAGACTGGGGCTGTAGGAGCAATGGGCTCGTCGAATCCCCACCCATCATCTTCTCCTGCTTCCTCTGCAATCTCCTCGTTCTTCTCCGGGACCGACACAGGCTCATCAAAGCCCCACCCATCTTCTTCCTCCAATCCCTCATCTCCCACCCTCACCGGCACCTTCTTCTCCACAACCGGCGTCCTCTCTGCATCCTCCACTTCCTCATCATCACTAACCTCCACCTCCTCAACACCCACCACCTCCCTCTCCCTCTCCCACCTGACCCCTTCCCATCCTTTCCATCCCCTCAACACCAACCCACGCACAAGCTCAGCAGAGTCGTATCGCCTTTTGGTGGCATACTCCAAAGCGGCTTGGGATTGGAAGAATCGGGATATGGGGCCTTGTTTCTGGTCGTCAGAGATGGGGAGGGAGGATTCGATGGTGAGGGCGGTTTGGAGGAGGGATATCCAAGCGGGTAGGGCGGAAGGGGAGGAAGGGAGGAGGGGGAGGAGGAAGTTGTCGAGGAGAGCTTGGAGGGTGATGGTTTTGGTGGAGAGAAGGAATGATGAGGTTTCGGGTAATTCGATAGAGCTCGGGATAAGAGTCGGGGAGAGGTTCGACAAGAAGGAGCGGACGCTCTGGAGGACTTGCTCCTCGCCCACAGTGCTCGCACTCGGCTCTACCCTCAGGACAGTCTCTCCTTCGCTGGAAGTTACATTCAGAGTGCAACGCGAGGCCGTTATCGGAATGATCACGTCCTCGAGAAGTTGGGTTTGTAGAGTTTGTAGCGATTGCGATAGTAGGCCGAGGGAATTCAGTGCTTGAAGAACAGCTGTCTGAGAGTAGTGAGGTGCTGGTGTCATTTGCAGGTTATTCGGACGGGCACCTATCGAACAATCAAACCGATTCAAAATGAAAGTATTCGGGCGTACCTCTGGGAGCAGGGAGCTTCACCTCACTCTTAGCTGTAACAACCACGCCTTCACCTCGCTTCGCGACAGTGACCAGCTCGGCCCAGCCTCCAAGGAACTGCTGAACAGCCTCGTCGTACAATTCCCTCTTTCTCTGATCTAGAGCCTTGACAACTTTAGTCTCCTTTATTTCCAAAGCCTCTGACCACTCTTTGACATCTTGCTCAGAAGAGAGCGCCTTGATGACCCAGCTCTCCGCCGTCTCCCCAGACCAGATCGCTTGCTCTAGCTTTGAGACGCTCTGCGCTTTGGTCTGAAGTGATTTCAGAGCAGATATATAGGCGCGGGAAGTGTGGAGAGTGGATAGAGAGGAGAAGTGGTTGTTGAGGACTGTTACCAGCGGCGGGAGGAACGAGGTCTGCAGATCGAGATCAGTTGGCATTCCCGTCTTTGATGGATGCTGGACATACTGCAGGATCTGTGATATCGATCTCCTTCTCCAGAGATTCGAGCTTCGCCTTGACTTGACTCATGTCTGTCCGCAAGGATGATGAAAGCTGGATGTCATGCGAGATGGTAGGAAGATTGTCGAGCACCAGTCGATGCGTTTTGGCCTGATATACCAATTAGCACCCTACCGTCTAAAAGAGCTACTGCAAAATCCCAACAAGCGTAAGACTCACCTTGTTCTCCTCCACAGCCTTCTCCAAGCTCTCCCTAACTTTTCGGATCTCTTCAGCAGTCCATCGCGCCCCTTTCTTGTTCTTCTCCGGTCCAGATGCGGCTGGAGCTGTAGACTTTGACGTGTCTATAGGAGCGTCTAACAATGGTTTGAGGAGTGTGAGGACAGCCGATTCTTGTTCCGAAGCCGAGTCGGCCGGGGCTGGTATGTCCTCTTGGGCGGGGCTGGAGATGTGTTCCCCTCCAGAACGGGGAAGGTGGGCGGGGACTGGGAACATGGGGGCGACCAGATGAAGGCGAGCTGGGAGATAAAGAGACGGTTATGAGAAGAGTAGAAGCAAAATCTAAGCAACAACAAGCTCGAGGCTTGCAGAAGGCTTGTCATGCCTGGCAATGACCTCAGGCCTCGAGGCAATTGATCCCGTTCGGCAAGGCGTCGACGTGTACATAGACTGTGGTATTGTCTTGTCTCTTCGTCTCTATATAATGTCCACTTCTGCATATTTATACTCCCTCTACCCCTATGCTTCACATCGATACCCCCTGGTTGCTGGCAAACCTCTGGAAACGTTCGCCTCTTCCTCCCTCCAAGTCCCCGACTCCTTCAACTGCCCGAACCCAAGCTTCTTCATCGCCAAACCATACAGACCGCAAATGCTCAGCAGCTATAGACGCTTCAATCAATGACTGGTGAGCTCTGTCCGAGTCCACTGTCATTGCTATGAGAAAGATAAAGTCGTGCTATGAGTCCTGCTTCTCTTTGGTATACGAAATCTCTTCATGATTCAGCTTCCGGCGGATTTGAACATCCAAATATGAAGCCCCCGTGGCGCAATCGGTAGCGCGCACGACTCTTATCGAGTCTGCTTGAACCGGTTACGGGCCATCAGTTAATCGTGCGGTTGCGGGTTCGAGCCCCGCCGGAGGCTTTCTTTTTGGCTTCTCTTTTGCCTTTTTGCCTGCTGTGTATGAGGCGGCCTTGTCTTGTAGCTGGAGGACCTCTTGTGTCGTCTACTTTTTGAGGGGTGATACATACTCATGGGCATGTATGTTTGAGAATCACTACATATGGGCCTGAGCTATATTCGACTGAAACCCTTGTCAGCTTTCAGACATGCTTAACATGAACGCCTTTGTTCACGTACTCACTGATCGCACAAGAACTGGGCACGCCTAGATCAAGGAGTAGTTGATATTGGGTATGTGAGACATCTCCTTCTGTGCTTTTTGGAAAACACTCGACCAGACTGTGATGAACAAAAGAAAGAGTACCACACATCTGGATACGCAATAAAACCTCTTGTAAGCCGCCATCTTGCAGCGAGTCTGCAAACGAGGAGGAGCCTTCACTCACAAGAGCCATTTGTCACTCGTCCCTTCCTCTTCCTTTTCCTCTTTCTCAATGTCAAAGAAGATGAAAGTTTCCTTCTCCGCCCTGGGTGTCATATCCACATCCTCCCAATCTTCATTCTCTCTCTCCAACTGCTTCACCGACGGTCTGATAGTGGCGTCACTTTCGGTCCGCCTCTTATAGGGGATGGGGTCACAGGGTATGGATGGGATGACTACTGGATGGATGATGGGGGAAGGTATTCGGAAGATGGGGGATGGGGGGTCGTCAACGGATCTGAAGGACGGGTCGTCGTTGAGGAGCGGGCTGGAGGGGAGGATGATGCTGTGACTACGCTGGCGAACCATTGTGTGTATTCTGAAGTGTTGGAACGATGCGCTGAAGATGATATGAAAGTGCGTCTGTAGTCATATCGTACATCATGAGGGGTTTGTGATTGACTTATAAGCAGGTGCGGAACCATGGGTTGAAGGCTGGCTGTTTCCGCTGCTTTGATTTCCGCCAATGGCTTCGTACTCAGCCCTCAGCCTCGCAGCTCCTACCGTAGGTTTCTGGGAGATTCTTGACGATAAAGCGTACACATCAAACCCGTACTGCTGCCGACAACATATGAATGCGCTGCCCCCGAACCAAACAGTGGCTTTCAAGATCCAGGCACTCAGGCACTTCCTGGCTCGTAATGCACTCATTTCGTTCCCATTCGCGCTTCGTGATTTCCCATTTCGCCCCTTCTCCTCCCCATCTGTCCCCAGCCTACAATGACTATGAGCAAAGGCATGAGACGGAGCGTCCTTGTCATCGGTACCGGTACGCCCCTTATCCCGCTCGTCTGGCGCTCCAGCTGATAACCATCTCAGGCGGCACCATCGCATCCGAGCTCACTGAAAATGGTCTTGCACCTGTAACCTCTTCATGATCCATCTCGTCCTCGATTCCTGACGCTTTTGGCAGCTGCGACAAGACTCCTTCTTTCGCCGAATCCGCCAACACCCCTCCCTCGCATCGCCCGCCTCACCATCCCTCACCTCGTCCTCCGTCTCAACCCCCAACGACCTTTCGTTCCACTCTCCTGTCATCACCACCAAGGTTGGGAAGAATACAAAGTACCCAAAGTTGGTCACGCCAGAGATGGATGATGAGGGAAGGGAGGTGGAGTATGAGATTTTGGATTTGGACAGACACATGGATAGTAGCGAGATGACACCTGCCGGTGAGCTCTCATGTTGAATGTCGTATGGTAGGGGACGAAACTGACTTTATTTAGAGTGGAATACGATCGCCGGGCTGGTGTCCGAGAATTGGAAAGGCTATGACGGCTTTGTCATTCTGTCTGGTACCGACACCCTGGTATGCATCCTTCTTCTCCGAGAAGTACGAGATTCCAATTGACTTGCTTCTAGGCATACACAGCAGCTATCCTCTCATTCCTTTTCGCCAACTCTGGAAAGCCCATTGTGATCACTGGTGCTCAGATCCCTCTCTCCCGGCCCCGGTCAGACGGCTGGACCAACATTCTCGATTCGTTGTTCGTGGCGGGCATTTTGCCGTATGCCGGGGTAGGAATTGTTTTCAACCACCAGGTGTTTCGTGGCACTCGGTAAGCTCGGCATTCAACTTGACAAGGACATCCGCTTATGATGGGTCCAGGGCGACAAAGACAAGTCCCAACTTGTTTGCCGCATTCACTTCACCATGCGTCCCTGCCATCATCAACCTAAACGTCAAAATCAGTACGTCACCCCATCTGCCCCCTCCCCATCCTAGCTCACAACCCATTCAGCCCGCGACGCATCCCCCCTTCCACCCCGGTCCCTCACCCCTCCCGCTCCCCTCATCTCCCTCAAAACAGACCCCACCGTCCTCTCCATCCACATCTACCCCGGTCTCTCCGGCTCCCTCCTCTCCGCCCAGATCGCCGCCGTCCCCACATGCCGCGCCGTCATCCTCTCCGCCTACGGTTCTGGTAACTTGCCCCTCGACCCGAGTAATGGGGTGATTGAAGCTTTGAAGGAGATGGTGGAGAGGGAGATTATGGTGGTGGTTCTTTCGCAGTGTGCGGTGCCGAATGTTTATCCGCTTTATACGCAGGGGAGGATGTTGTTGGATCTTGGTATGTCTTCAAAGTTTTTTTGGCGTTTAGGGGTTTGAGGGGTATGTGCTGATGTGATATAGGTGTTTTGCCGGGATACGACCTCACACACGAAGCCGCTTTCGCCAAACTCTTATGGCTCGTTTCTGACGAATCCCTTCCCTTCAAGGAGAAACAACAGCGATTTGAAGAGGATTGTGCCGGGGAGATGTCCGTTTGAAGCTGGTAGCAGAGTCGCAAAAGGCATTATCAGGAAGGTAGATGCGTGTACATGGGATGGAGGACGGCGTCATCATTGTGCATACGCAAGTATTGGACAAGTAGAGTATCATACGGATTCGAGAATGTTACGTTGTTCATGATCATCTGGATCATGTAGCTTGTGTCGGACGCCAAACCAAAAGTATCTCTCCCATCGCGCCTGGCTTAGTTCTCCTGCTCCAGCTGTGGTGGAGAAGCTGACTGTAAAGGACCTAAATACCAAGTAAGATCAATTAACCGGATGAGCAGCAAAAGCCATTGCATCACAATTCCAACCCTGGAATCATAATGCATATGTTGGTCTTTGGACTTGTTAACTCACGCCCTGGGACCTGACCACTGGATCCTTACATGGCTGGTCAGGCTGGTGCAGAACGCTTCTGGGTCAGCAGATGGGAAGTGGGCAGATAGCTTGAAGGAACAGCACGGAGGGGGGAAATGGGGGTTCCACAAAATGGGGATGAACGACTACCCCTGGACCGTGGTTGCGAGAGGATGTCGTGATGTCGGTGCTGAGGAGCGATGGTGAGTTCGATGAGGTCGGCCGAGACTCCTTGTAGCCAATCTGCAGGTGATGTCAGCCCTAAGTAGTTGCTACTGCCAAAAATAAGGACAACTCACCAAAGCTCAACAGTAACGATACCCCAGCTAGCAACCACAGTCCATGGGTAGTCGTTCATCTCCATCTTTTGAAAACCCCATTTTCCCTCTCCGTGCTGTTCCTTCAAGCTATCCGCCCACTTCCCACCTGGTACGGGGGACTCGATAGCGTTCTGCACCAGCCTGACCACCCACTTCTCCATTCTGTCCTCGTCGTCCGGCCCCAGATCTCCAATGCGCGTAATGTTTAACGTCCGGTGGTACCAGGTCTGGCTGCTATGATACCTGCCGAAGATGGTCTGTATGGCGACTGACCGAGAGGAGGGTCGCCGGAGAAAGTGCACAAGAAAAGGCGACACGACAAGGGATAGTCGATCCTGTTGGCCAATTACGATGGTGACGAGCAGAGTTGTACTAGGCGGGGGCTTAAGGAGAAACGCGAGTTTGAGCAAGTTTCAGGGGATGTCGGAAGTAAATGTGCGTGGTGGGGGGTGGGAAGAAAGAAGAATCAGAGATGAGAATGCCCCCTTATATATGTCTATCTGGGCGGGGATCTGTGGGGATGCCCGCCATCCGACGTCAGCTGAAGATCGGCCAAACAGACACTAGCGCGCCTGCACCTCCTTTCCCCCGTCAGCCAACCTCCGTCCTCCGAGCTTCGAGCTTCGAGGTCGGTTCTGGAACACGTCGGGGGGTGGGGTAGTGGGGTAGGTAATATCCTTTTTGCAAGGATGACCAATGCATCGGCAAGAGAGAAGCGAGAGGGTGCCGACCCCGAGAGACAGAGAGGTACTGGAAGAGAACACCGATCGCGATGAGCAGAAACACAACCACCGGCGCTGTCGTTGGGTTCTGACGAGAAATTGACCCACAGTATACATGAGAGCTGCAGGACCATGCATCCACAGTATACTCGTCAACACATCCGCCAAGCAATATAAAAGCATAAGCAAAATAAAAGCAAAAGCGAAAGAAAACAGAAAGAGGGCGAAAAAAAGGGCAAAAAGAAAGCCTCCGGCGGGGCTCGAACCCGCAACCGCACGATTAACTGATGGCCCGTAACCGGTTCAAGCAGACTCGATAAGAGTCGTGCGCGCTACCGATTGCGCCACGGGGGCTTCATACAAAGTGGCCAAAAGTGTGTGATACACCATTTACGTCCACGTCCTTTGCCTAGTCTCATACTGAAAATAAGTGGACGACGAGAGCAAGTTGCTGGGTATCGAATGAACGCTTGTTCTCCAGTGGCCGTGCATCAGAGTCGTCATTAACCTGATCCATCTATAATAAGTCTAGTTCTACAAAGCTCAAAGGTTCATCGTGATGGGGTCGTTATAAAAAAGATGCGAAAAGATGATACTGTACTACTATTCTATACTCATTGTCCGATCTGATGTCGTATACGGTATTATGGGCTTGAGCGCAACGATCTGCTGACCTAGGGAGAGCCGGGCCACTTTAGGCGGAGACCGTCGAGCCCTGTGAAAACTCGTCAGTGACTCTGCGATGGAGAGATAGTTTTGAGGCGTTGACTCACATCGAAGGTACAGCAGGTCCGCAATCACGCTCCTCTCCTTTACCAAATCACTCCCCTCCTTCCCATGCTTCTTCTCCTCCCCCGTCTTCTCTTCCCCCTTCCCCTGCCCCTGCCCATTCGCCTGCTCCACCCCCACACCCGCCTCCCTCCCAAGCGTCATCCCGCCCAAAACCCTGCCCACCCTCCCCCCCTCGCCTCCCCGACGCATGTTACCGAGTATATCCATGACGACGCCATACACTTCCTGCGGCGAGTTTTCGGCGAGGTCGGCAAAGCCGCGGGAGAGGAGGGAGAGGGCTTCGAGGGTTGGGGCGGGGAGGGAGGGGGATTGGGTTCGCTGGAGGTTCTTTTGTTAGTGGGCGTCGGAAAAGAGGGAGGGGGACTCACGTTGGCGAGGACGGGGAGGATGACGTCTTCTACCAAGGCTTCGCCAGCAAGCTCGCGAGGGTCTCTAGTTTCTTTGCTATTCGTAGTCTCTTCGACTGACTGGGACTTTGGTTTGGTTGGACTCTCAACAGGCTGGGTTTTTAATTTGGATGGGCTCTCGGGGATGCGCTGATGCCGGATGGAGCCAGAGCCGATGTAGGCGTTTGAAAGACGTTGGGATCCGGCGAGGTCGATCTTCTTCATCGGCCGGACTGTCGAGAACCTAACACACCATCAGATTTGTCAACACGGAAGAACAAGCACTAACCCATCCCCGACGTCTCCCTCTTTCACAACAGTCCCTCGCACCCCATCGTTCCTCTGCTTCCACGTCGACTTGCCCGACGCCTCACTCCTAGCCGGCTGCCTCTCCAACTCTGGCAAAGACAGCTCACTCGCCGTCATCGTCTCGGCACTCATCAACCCCCCATGCCGCTGTCCATTCTCCTTGACAGTCCCATCCCAAGTCCTCGGATCCACCTCAACCTCCCCATCCCACATCTCCTCCTCCATCTCCTCCAAATTCAGCTCCACCGGCACACCCCTCCTCGTGCCCCTTATCGTCTCATCAAAGTTCCACCCCGCATCGCTCGCGACACTCCCCCGGCCGGAGGAAGGGTCGATGGTGAGGCCGTGCCCAGAGGCGAGGTTGTTGAGTGAGGCGGTGGGGCGGGAGGATGGTTTGGAGGGGAGATGGGAGACGTAGATTTGGTAGCGCTCGACGAGGGGGATGAGGGTAGATGTCTTGGCTGCCCCGCGGATGAACGGGTGTGCCAAGAGCTCTTTCGCCGTAGCCCTATGTTCCGGGTCTTTCTGCAGACACCTCTCCACAAAGTCTCTCAGCCCTTCACCGGCTTCACCTTCTTCCAATCTCGGTGCGCGCGCTTTTGGGATCAAAAACAAGACTCGCATGGGATGATACTCGCTCAAAGGCGGATCGCCTTTGAGCATCTCGATAGCTGTGATACCGAGGGACCAAATATCCGCGCGCGCGTCGTACCCCGCCTGCCGGATGACTTCAGGTGCCATCCAAAACGGCGTCCCCACAAACGTGTGCCTCTGAGACTTGTGCGACGAGAGCTGGGCGGCGACGCCAAAGTCTGCGAGCTTGACGTCGCCTGAAGCGGAGAGGAGGACGTTGGCGGCTTTGATGTCGCGGTGGATCTTGCCTTCCATGTGGAGGTAGTCGAGGCCGAGGAGGAGTTCGCGGCAAACGACGGCGACTTGCGATTCGGTAAACACTCCAGGTTTGAGCTGTCCTCGTCAGTCCATGTCGAGCGTAATGGGGGGGGGGGGGACGTACCAAGTCGAGACAGCTTCCTCCAGCGAGATACTCCATCACGATCCACAACCTCGCGCCTCTGACGAACGACCCATAATATTTCGTCACATGGTCCGACCAGCACGACGACAGGTGCGCAATCTCCGCCTGGATCTCTGATATATCATCTTCCGACGACTCGAGGTCGATCATCTTGATCGCCACGATTTGTTTCGTATCATTATGAGTCCTGAGACAACCGTCAGCTCGGTCCACCAGAAGAGAATGAGGACGAACGCTTTCCAGACGGTACCGAAATTGCCAGCGCCGAGCTTTTCGAGGAGGGTGTATGCGACGGCGGGGTCGGCGAGGCGGGCTGCTTGAGCTTGGGCGTGGAGAGGTGACATGGGGAGGTGAGTTTGGGCGAGTGTTATTGGGCAGGTTTATGGGTCTGGGAAGAGGCGAGCTCGTGTTGTAGCTACAACACTCGACGGGCGAAAGAGGAAACGACTATATAAGGGTCTTGAGGAAGGTAAGGGGAATGCAGTAGTATACTGACGATTGCTAGCCAGATAGGGTGGCAAGAGGTGAAAAAATGACGTCGTTCCTAAGGTGTACCCGGTGTCCCTGTGTAGGGAAGAGCGGTCTGTGCTCAAGAGTCAAGAGTGGTCCGGCAGATCGTGGAGGAGGGCCGTGGTTTGATGGAGGAAGGGCCCTAGTGACGTGATGGGCTATGGGTACGTACCTGGAAAAGATGCAGAGAGGCCTGCCCATCGTGGTCTCGAGCTGGTCTCGAGCGTGATGGTGGTTTGTTTACATTCAGCGGGCGGCACTCCCCGCCTCCACCTCGCGCATTTACGTAACACAAATCCGACCATTCTCGCTGATGACCCCTGCAGTCGGTTGTGCACATTTGAGCGAGCGACTCCATCTGCCCCTAGCTGTATTGGCCACCATATAGACTGGCAGCGAAGCGTGGGTGCTGTCCGACAACATCTGCGTGACACTGGCTCACTTTTCAAAGATCTTCCATCAAATCAATCACATTCCGGCAGACTTTCCAGTCTCACCACCATGCTCCCCACCCATCCCCCATCCGACTCTACCCCTCTCCCCTCCTCCTCATCCTCCTCCTCCCGCCGCGTCGCTTACTACTACGACCAAGACGTCGGCAACTACAACTACTACCTCGGCCACCCCATGAAACCCCACCGAATCCGCATGGCCCACAACCTCATCGTCAACTATGGCATGTGCGACGAAGAAGGCGAGGAGCACGGGCCTGCTGATATTTGGGGCGAGGGGAGAAGGGGGGTGAATGATGAGCTTGCGCAAGGGTGGGGCGGGGGGGAGATGGGGGAGGCGGAACTCAAGTGGGAGAAGGCGGCGTTGAGGGGGGCGAGGTCAAAGACGATGCAAGTGTTCAAGCCGAGGAGGGCGACGAAAGAGGAGATGACGAGGTTTCATACCGACGAGTATATCGACTTGCTTGAGGCGGTGACGCCGGAGACGGCGGATGCCTTGACGGGCGGTGGTACGCGATGCCTGATAGGTGAAGATTGTCCCGCCTTCGACGGGCTGTTTGAATTCTGCACCATCTCTGCTGGAGGCTCTCTGGGAGCCGCCGAGAGATTGAATGCGGGCGCTGCAGATGTAGTGATCAACTGGGCAGGTGGTCTGCATCACGCGAAAAAGACTGAAGCGAGTGGTTTCTGCTACGTCAATGACATGTAAGTCTGCCATCCTCTTTCGCAAACTGCTTCCTAACTTGTGACTAGCGTCCTGGGTACCCTCGAGCTCCTCCGCATACACCCCCGAGTCCTGTACATCGACGTCGACGTCCACCACGGCGACGGCGTCGAAGAAGCCTTCTATGTCACCAACCGCGTCATGACCTGCTCCTTCCACCGCTTCGGCGAGTTCTTCCCCGGCACCGGCGACGTCCGCGACGTCGGCATGAAAAAAGGCAAAGGCTACGCCGTCAACGTCCCCCTCCGCGACGGCGTCACCGACACCTCCTTCCAATCCATCTTCAAACCCGTCATCGACCGTATTATGGCCCATTTCCGCCCCTCGGCTGTGGTGCTCCAAATGGGCGCCGACAGTATCTCGGGCGACAAGTTGGGAGGGTTTAATTTGACGTTGGAAGGGCATGCGGAGTGTGCGAGGTTTGTAAAGAGTTTCGGGGTGCCGGTGATGATGTTGGGGGGTGGAGGGTATACGGTGAAGAATGTGGCTAGGGCGTGGACGAAGGAGACTGCCATCATGTGTGGTGTCGAGCTCGGCGAGGAACTACCATACAACCAATAGTACGTCCCCCTTCCTCCCCTTTTGCTCAAGTCGAAGCTGACTTGGGGCAGTTTGGAGTACTATGGCCCTAGGTACAAGCTCGAAGTCGTACCCACCAACGCCCAAGACCACAACCCGCCCGAATACCTCGAACGCATCAAACAACAAGTATTCGAAAACCTGCGCGACCTGCCCTTTGCGCCCGGTGTACAAATGCGCGACGTTCCGAAAAAGTCTGTCGGGCAGGTGTTGGGGATAACGGATGGGTATGGTGGTGGGGAGGGGGATGAGCCTGAAGATGAGCTGGATCAGAGAATAAAGAGTAAGCTTTTCCCTTTTCGTTTCTTTGCTTTTGGTGAAGGTGGGGCAGAGCTGATGGGGTGGGTCAGAATTGTTGAAGCGCCGAAGAGCAAACCCCCTCGACGACCCATCCACATCATCATCCGACTCTGAACCCGACGCTTCCGCCTACGCCCGTCCCGGCCGTGCGCGCAGACAAGGTACAGGCGGAGGCCGCGGTCGCTGGCGGTCCGCCCGCTACGCCCAAGCCCAGGCCAAAGCCAAAGAACGCGAAGCCCTCCGCCGTAAAAACAATAATAGGGACGAGGACGATGAGGATGAGGATGATCCTTGTGGGGCAAAGGCGAGGCCGAAGAGGAGTTTCTTCAAGATGGCGGCGAATGGGGTGGGGACGACGATAGATCCTGTTGGCTTTGGCCTCGGCATAGGGGGAGGAGGGGGGGAGGGGAGTGGGAAGGGCAAGTCGAGTGGGTTGAGTAGTGGGCTGAGTGCGCTGGCGGGATTGGGGGTGGTGGCGGAGTGGAAGGGCGGGGTTTCGAGAGCTGGTACGCCTACGAGCATGGCATGATTGGACTTTTAGTCTGTTACTCTTTTGCCGTACTTCTCTTTTGCCGTACTTGCACTTTCACAATTGGACTTTTGCTTTTCTTTTCCGTTTCGTTAGCTCATTTTGGTCTTGCTTCTGCTCTGCTGTATCTTCTAGATGTATGGCAATGCTCTTATCTCATTCCTGCACTTCAACAGCGGATCCAGCAGTCATCACTCATCAGCCATACGGCATACCTGCTGAGGCTGCGCTGAGCACGTTAAACGATGGCCCAGGCACGTGCGCATTCCATAAGGGAAGGCGCGCATGTCCGACGGCGGGGGGGCGGAACTGATCGGCGCGCGGTTTTTGCTGGAATCCGGCTCATCCATTCATCCATGAACGTTTACGATGCATGCTCCCAGTGAGTCTAGAGAGAAGAAGAGAGTGACGGGGGTAAAGGTGCGAGTTGGGGAGACGAGATAGTTTGCTTCGCGATGCAACGGTAGCCGTGTCCCCCCAGCAGCCCATTATTAGTGGCTGCGGTGCGACGCATTGCCCGGCAACACGGTCCGGATAGACGGGAGTGGTTCCCATGGGCCTGCAGCTGGGGCCGGGGGGGCGGGCGGGTTCTCGTGCAGGCTCCGCCCCCGGCTGGCCCGCCCCTGCCTTGTCGGTTCTCGCAGAATGCACAGGGGTCACACAACAGTACATGCGAGGGAGGGGGCGGCGCTCGCCGTCTGACGTCAACGGGGTCCTCCGTCCTTCCAGAACTCGAGCTTTCCATTCACTTCTTCACCAAGAGCCTCCTTCCATCACATCTCTTTAAAGATATATCTCTTGACGCCATGCCCAACAACCAAGTACCCAACTCCCCCACCTCCACCTCCTTCAGCGGCACATTCTCCCCGGGAGCGACGGCCGCCAACACCGCAGCCAACGCCAACGCCAAGGACTCCTCTCCGTCCACCCCAGAGTCTCCCGTCATGGGCCAGAGAGCCGACGGTAAGGAGCAGAGGCTCATCGTCGTCTCCAACCGTCTGCCCGTCACGATCAGCAAAGACGCCAATGGCGAGTATCACTTCAAAGTACGTCATGATTATTTTTTTTCGCCCCGCGCAGTGCTTTGGGCTAACATTCAGCATAGATGTCCTCTGGCGGTCTCGTGTCTGCCTTGAGTGGCTGCAAAAAGAGCATGAGCTTCATCTGGATCGGCTGGCCCGGAAAAGACGTGCGTACAAACTTTTTGGCTAGGTTTTTTTTTCTGGTATGCGCGAAACGCGGAGCACCGTTGACGACCGTGACGTAGATCCCCATGGCCGATCGTGAACATGTCAACCAGAGATTGTTGGAAGAGTACAACTGCCTAGCTGTCTATCTCTCTGACGAGCTCGCTGACCGTCACTACAATGGTACGTCCCCTTCGTCACTATGAGCGCAGTCTGACGCTTCCCGCGCAGGCTTTTCCAACTCTATCCTCTGGCCTCTTTTCCACTACCACCCCGGAGAGATGAACTTTGACGCCGAAAACTGGCTCGCATACCGTGAAGCCAACATGCGTTTCGCCGATACCGTCTCCAGCATGGTCCAAGCCGGCGACATGGTCTGGGTCCAAGACTACCACCTCATGCTGCTCCCCATGCTTCTTCGATCGATGATCACTGGCGAGTCTGCGCAGGGCGAGATGGTCAGGCAGGAGCTTGGGAGGGTGAAGGAGGGTGTGGACGATTCGGTTGTGAAGGAGGTGTTGAAGATGGACCCGGGAGTGTCGGAGGGTGTTGCGGATGAGGGTGTGGAGTTGTTGGATGATGTAGAGGAGGAGGGCGGGGAAGCGACCCATGCGCACGGCAAACCCCATTTCTCCCGAGATATGAGTACTTTCCAGAAGCAGGAGGCTGTTGCCAAGGAGAATGGCAAGGAAGGTGTTCGAATTGGTTTCTTCTTGCACACCCCATTCCCTTCCAGCGAAATTTACCGGTGAGTCCCCTTCTCTTCTCAATGATCACCACTGACATCTCGCAGTATTCTCCCCGTCCGACGAGAAATCCTCCTCGGTGTCCTCCAATGTGACCTCATCGGTTTCCACACCTACGACTACGCCCGCCACTTCCTCTCCTCCTGCACCCGTATCCTCGGCCTCGAAACCCAGCCCAACGGTATCGAATTTGAAGGCCGCTACTGCCAAGTCGGCACCTTCCCCATCGGTATCGACCCCCACCAATTCACTGAAGGCATCCAAAAAGAATCCATCCGCAACCGTATCAGGCAGATGGAAGCCCGCTTTGAAGGGTGCAAAGTCATCCTCGGTGTCGACCGATTGGATTACATCAAGGGTATCCCGCAGAAGCTGCATGCGCTCGAAGTGTTTTTGACGCAGCATCCGGAATGGATCGGCAAGGTTGTGTTGGTGCAGCTTGCTATCCCGAGTAGGCAGGATGTGGAAGAGTACCAAAACTTGCGGGCTTGTGTGAATGAGCTCGTGGGCAGGATCAATGGCAGGTTTGGAACGGTGGAGAGTATGCCGATCCATTTCATGCACAAGAGTGTGCCGTTTGAGGAGTTGACGGCAATGTATGCATTGTCGGATGCTTGTCTTGTTACTTCTACGCGTGACGGTATGAACTTGGTACGTCTCTTTTTTCTCTCTGCATCCGGATGGCTTGCTGATGGGGTTTAGGTCGCATACGAGTACATCTCTTCTCAGGCGGAACGTAACGGATCCATGATCCTCTCCGAATTTGCCGGTGCCGCCCAGAGTTTGAACGGTTCCATCCTCATCAACCCTTGTACGTCTCCCTTCCTCCCTCCATTTCCTTCTCTGGGGATTCGTACTGATACATACATTGCAGGGGACGTCCAATCCACCGCCGACGCCATCCACCAATCCCTCACTATGGGTCCCGAGCAGAGGAGCAGCAACTGGCAAAAGCTCTACAACTATGTTAGCAAGTATACCGCCGAAGCTTGGGGTGTCGCTTTCGTCAAAGAACGTACGTCTCCCCTTCCCTTCCCTCCCTTCCCTCCCCTCCCCTCCTTCCCTCACCTCCCATCCCTGCCTTACTTCTATAAGAGTCAAGAGCTGATAGAAGCGAATAGTCACGCGTCTTTCGGGCCAACGTCCTTCCGGCCCCGCTGTACCCGCCGGCCGCCGTAGGTCCAATGGCTCGTCGAGCAGGACGAGCAGTAAAGCGTCTACCAAGAGGAGGAGCGTGGCGAGTGGTGTGCAGAGCTCTGGTCTTGTTTAAAGAAACACCATGTTTTGGAGTGAGGCTGGAGATTGGATATTTGTATCATGTGGGCTTGGAGATGAGGCGAGGAGAGAGTTGAAGGAGGTCTGGGGAGGAGGGAGAGTCATAGAGCGAGAAGAGGGAAGTAGGGGTTGATTGTTAGATATCACTTAATTGAATTTTACGCATTGACGAATGAACACTGGTCGACTGTTTACACGTTGCATAGAGTAGGCTCTGGAGGGGCATCCATTTGCACCACTGAAAAGTCATCCAAATAACCGTCATCATCTCTTGCACCTCGCGACGACTCATCTTCAGAGTCACTCTCGAGCCCTGTGGTTTGTGAGCGATGGAGATGTACGTTTGATGCATACGTCTTACTCGAGTCCCCTGCCACTCCAGACCACCGAAGGCCCGTCCGAGCACACAACCAAACCCTGACCACTCAGACTCGCTGTCGTCAAGCTGCGAGATTTCTCCAGAGCACGTAGCATCGTCGTTGCCTCTGGACGCCCATCTTCTCTTGCATCTGTACAAGTACTCGTCTATCATGATCACCACTCAATCCCCCTCCACGCACCATCATCAGCGTTGTCGCCTCCTACACCTCCTATCCTCACACTCCCCAACGAGCTCCCCGTCGTCAAGGGAAGCTCAATGCCTATTCCCTCCACGTCGGGCGTGTGTACAAGTTTTCCAAGCTTGGCGCAACATCCAATGGGCGACGGCCCGCAGAGCACAACGTCGGGGGCAGCAAGCAGAGCTACCTGTGTTGCTGTGTGCCCCTGTTTTGTCACTGGCCATCATTTGGGAGAATGGCTCAGCGACCGGTAAGCTGGCATATACAATTGTTTGTTCACACACTAACGCATGTTCCAAGGCGATGGGGTAATCTTTTACAGGCCGAAGAGGAGGAATCTGACGACAACTGTGATCGATCGGACACTCACGATGATCCACGACGTCGACGAGCAGAACGAAGACTCCTCTTCGATCTTGCCATTTTTATCGACGTCTGAGCTATCAAACCCGGCTCGCTCAGTTGTCCATACTTTTCCGAAGTACACCCACAACCCATCGCTACAAACAGCAATCCCGAGCCAATGGTCACCGCGGATACCTCTGAACGTCCTTCGCCCACCAGGACAGCTCGTACCGATGGTTCGGGCTCTACCCCCGGTACAGCCTCCACACTCTTGGACGCAAGCCCTCGCTCTGACGTCTTGCGCAAGCACATTGAGGAGCGGCCCGCCGAAAGCTCGCTGAGGGAAGGGCAGGCGTTGAGCGAGTAGGGGAAGAACGAGGGTCGGCCAGGGGCACGAAGACATAGTCATGTTTACGGAAGACGAAGCGTCTGAAGAAAGCAGCTTGCGGGAGTCTTTTTCCCCGATTCGAGAAAGCGCCATGATCTCCCGATTTCTGCAAGTCTCAAGCTGAGTCAGCAGCTATACATTGCGGTGTATAGTTCTGGAGACAGCTTCCGAGACAAAGAGGCTCTGGGGCACGCGGTCAAGCATGGATATGTGCAGTCAAGCGAGGGAAAGTACCGCCGAGCGACGGCCAAGTGGACGTTGCAAATGCGTAATCCACTTGTTGAGTGTGTCCAACAGTACGTATACCTTTCATGATGTTGAGACTTGTAGAAGCTGACTGTTTCTGAAGATTACGCCTTGAGATGCAACGTCACATCAACACCTACAAAACAACCCCCAACCCTTCGCTCGTTACTGCAGGGATACCGTTTAGCCATCTGGCAAGAAATAACCGGATGGTGAGCAAGAGGCCATGCCTACCACTTCTGTGACATCTCCAAAGGGCCGAAGCGCGTCGCTTGCTCGACAAGGAGGATCGCGAGTAGTCGGAGCCGATCATGCGACGACATGAAGCGGCCTTGTCGAGGAGCGTCCGCCGGACAGCGAGGATGAGCACAGTCTAGGGCTGGAGAACGGCCGTCCTAGAAGCGTGAAGGGATCATCCATGGACCAGGTCTGTATCATTTCGCTGTTTCATGTTGAGCTATTGAGGCTGACCTTTCGAGCAGACTCCGTTCAAACAAGTCTGGGTGCTCAACGATCACCTCCGGCTGATACATCATCCTGCAAGAACGCAAGTCCGGTTGTTTTGCCCTAGCAAAGTACCGCATGGCACATCTTGTTCCTTCAAAGAAGGACAACTCACACCTCCCGAAGGACGGATGACGCGACTGCCCCATCCCCTTCTTCTTTTTCTTTTCTTCATCCCCCTCCAGTCACCCCCCACACCATGGCACCAAGTACTTGGTTTGGTTGTTGACATATCGAGGTACCGGAAAAGGACGTGACGCCTGCCCTCCACCCCTTATCTCGTAGATCCTAAGTGAGTGAGGAAGAGCCTGGGCGATAAGAGGTGGGCGTTGACTGATTCGACATCTAGCTATCCAATCCATGATCAGCTCCGGGCTTCCCAAACCGTCCCCCTCGCGGCTGCCTGGCGTTCTCTTATTCCTTCCCCTTCCCCTCCCCACCCTGCCCATCCCTCTTGCCCTTGCCACCCCCCCTCCCTGGTGACCTCCTCCTATACCACGCCCACAGGCGCCGGACGAGCTCGACAGTTGATGGCGCTCATTCGAAGGCTGTCCATGACTACATCCTTCTCCTCGCATGTGCATATGATGCAGATGGTGGGATTGTTGTCTTGGCGTGCGGGCATGTGGTGGCCGAATCTGAAGACTCGTGGCGATGGTTCATATCCCATCTGAAGGAGGCGTGCCCCAGTATGGTGGATAATCCTTCACTTGTGGACATGGCTCCAAATTGTCCTCACATCTGATGGACAAGTTCTCGTGAGTCTTTCTATCTGGCGACTGTGGCTGATGAACAGGTGGCAAAGCTCTTGCCATCAATTGGACAAGGCACACCGCAATTTAGGAGCATCGCCTACTCCAGCAACAGTACGGCGATGTTTCGGTTCGGGACACCTAGTACCCTCGCCAAATGAGTGACCGGCAGAAGGTAGGATTTCTCTATTATTCCCGTGATTGCCAGCAACTGATCCTCATACAGGGCATCACCCTCTCTCCATGCTGAAAGCTGGATAGTCGTCATAGTCTAGTAGATATATGAATAGGAAATTTGCAATTTGAGCTCAAATGACGAACGGACAGTTGAACAATATGATCCAGTCTGACCCGGTACAGTTGACTGACTGTCAGACAGGTGCATCGGCATGACAGGTATGCGAATGACAAACAAGAACGGGTATAATAATGATCAACAGATCTGTAGAATCATAAAACACTTGTCACAAAACGCCAACAAACACAAAGTAACACAAAGAACGATCTCAAGACCACACACGCCTACCGCCCCGCCTCTTCCTGACCCATAGCCGCCCTCACAAACCTCTGCAACACCTCCTGACTATCCCGTCTCCTCGCATCCACATCCGTCGACGGATCCCACACCCTCGTCGAGCCTGTTCGCCCATTCCTGTTTCCATTTCCATTCCCAGTCCCCGAGCTGGGGAAAGACGATCCACCCGACGAGCTAGAGTATGGCCCTCCAAACCCTGCCAAGCCGAGTGAAGACGATGGTGGAGAAGTACGTTGGCGTTGGGTTTGGGCGAGGTCGAAATTGTACGCTGGCTGGGGTGCTGCCTTGTGCCCCTGTCCTGGTCCTTGCGCCGTACCACCCGACGTCAGGGAAACCTCGCCATGCCGAGGGAACGCTACCGCCCCCCCCTCCCCTCCTCCTCCTCGTGAAGGAAGAGGCAAAGTCCTAACAACAGGCGACGTCCCCAACCCCGCTCCTTCCCCTACCCCAATCTTCTCATCCACCAGCCTCACCCGATCTGTCTGGGCACATCGGTCCCGATATCGCGCGTTGTTGGCGTACTGTCCCTGAGATGGGGGGGTGGCATCTTCCCCGTCCGACGTCGATACTTCATCATCCCCGTCTGCCGAATCTTCCAACCCCACCTGCGATCCTTTCCTATCCTCCTTCTTCTTCCCCTTCCTTCCCGACCCTCCTCCACCCCCACCTCCAACCCCAGTCCCAGCCACAGGCAAGAGATTGAACCCCCCCAACGCCCCCCTCGGCGTACCCGGCACACTACCCAGAGACCTTACCCTCTCATGCCCCCCTCGCACTTCCTTCCCCCCGCCCACACGCTGCATATACCGCCCAATCTCGGGCAGCTCGTCCCATGCATTCTTGTAAGATGCCATGGACTCTTGCATCGATTTGATGCGCGTAGGCGGGCTTGGGCTGCGTTGCTCCGTAGGCAAGGAGGAAGAAGAGGAGGTGGGGTAAGTGGGCGGGGAAGGGTTTTGGATGGATATGCTCGGTGGGCGAAGACCTTGTACCAGACGGGGTAATGGTTCTTCCCCTTTCGGAAAAACCCTTTGCGGCCGGGGATGACCCCTCTCTTCCCAAGGGAAAACCGGCGCCAACTGCTTCCTATCCGGAACACTCGAACTAAACCGGGCGTACCAACTATCATTCACCACACTCGCCGGCAGGGTGGGATAATCTGGCTCGATGTGCTTTTCAGAGTGAGAGTAGTAGCTCGATTGTTGGGAGGGGGATGATTCCCAAGCGTTGGGGTAGTATGAATGCGAAACGGCCATCTCGGGTTTGGCTTCTTTCGGAGGGGAGGAGCGCTGGGCGTCCCATACAGCTGGCTGGGTGGTTTGGACGGTGATGCTAGCTGGTGGAGGCGCAGCTTCAATCGGCGGGGAACTGAGCGCAGAAGGGTCTTCTGCCGGAGGAGTGACAGAAGCAGGCTTGGGCTTGGGCTCGAGGTGCGGTTTCGGCATGATGAGATCCACCCGCCCCTCGAGCGGTAAACTCGTATACTGCCCCGGCTTCAACGCCAAAACACCTTGCGTCGACGCAGCTTTCAGCTCTGACAAGTCCAGCCTGTCCGGGGCGTCGGCAGGAAAGCTGGGAGAAGAGGGGGATTGGTTCCAGATGGCGATATGTTCGGGGACGACGAAGCGTTGACGGATATCGGGGTGTTGGGCGGAGGAGGGACGGATGTGGGCGTCGTACACGGCGAACCAGCGGTCGATAAGTGAAGGGTCTTTGCCGTGTCAGCATAGCATATAGACATGTTTGTAGTACTCACAGTCAAAAGACTTTTCTTTGCCTTGCACGTTGGACACTCCGGCAGGGCGGTGGCCAACACTCGCCCAAGGCTTGTTGGGCCCGATAAAGTGGACGTTACTGATCTTGTGGCCATATCGCTTATATGCCGGGGCATACGTATAAGCAGCCGAAGGAGTCACATTATACCTATCAAACGTTAGCTACACCCACATAGGAGAAAGAAGACTCACGTGAATGGCAGCCGATGCCAATCACCCCCACCCCCTTCCTCCGAAAACCACTCATTCAGAAGCCCCTGATCCGCCCCATCAAAACTCCCATTCCCCTCCCTATATATCCCATCTTCCGCCTCCCCATCCTTCAACAGCCCGCGCAGTCCTTCCCAGTCAGTTTCACGGGGTCGCACGACCATGACGCCCGAGTTGAAGCAGTCTGGCCAGCCGGTATCGGGGCACGCCGAGAGGACGTGGGGGTGGGTGGATTCAAAGAGGTGGTCTAGGGGACGGATGGGGAGGACGTCGGCGTCGAGGTAGATGAGGGTGGAGAAGAAGGGGTAGAGGCGGAAGAGATGGATCTTTGTGAGGGCAAAGTTCAGATCCGGACGGCCTGCTTGTTGTCAGCGCAGATTCCAACGGTCTGTATAGAGACGTACCCATCAGATTGAGAGCACTGCTTCCGGCTCTTCCACTACCGATAGGCTCGACACCAATGACAAGATCATATCCCGCCTTCCGAAGCTCTCCGATGGTTTTGGCGTCGACCGTTTCGGGTGTCACGAGAGCGACGATTTTAAAGTTTCGAGGTCCGGGGTGGAGGTCTCGGAGGGCGTGGAGGAGGACGAGGGCGCCGGGGAGGTAGGCGGAGGTGGTGAGGAGGGTGACGAAAGCGTTGGGGAGGGACATGGCTGAGTATTGTTAGTATGCGAGATAGTACAAACAGTGGCAAGATCTGGAGAATGGCAGGTGAAGGCAGTAGCCTAGTTATCACAGGTTACAGCTGCAGGACAGCGCCAAGATGCTGAACTTGAGAGCTGCTGTCCTAGTACAGGGACGATATTGAGTGACAAGTGATGGGGACCGACATACCTGCTCTTGTGTGTGTCTGCGCAAAAGAGACTAGGGTATCTTGACAAGACAATGACGATGTCGGGGGCAAGAAATCTGACTGTCTTGTCTATGGTATCCCTTGCTCTGCCTTGAAGATAGTTTGCTACTCGAAGTGAAAGATGTAGAAAGAAGAGAAAGAAAAGAAGAGAAGATCCACAAGAGGGTACAAGAGACATCCAAAGTGCCTGGCCCCGGGGCCCTGACTGCCACGCATGTCCACCCACTGGGCCATTGTCTCTATGCATGCATCCCTCCTCAGTCTCACCCTCCTC